ACGGGGCATTGGGGTCAGCATTGATATTGTCAATCGTCGGAAGCGGAGACGATTCAATTAGAACCTAGTGAAGTATCGTTTCCGATCGGCTCATTCAATCCCATTCGGTCGAACGGCTGTTCTATTCGGGGTCTTTAGCGCGAATGATATGCATTTCCTTTCATTGGTATCGCTGGGAAAGGGCATCGCAATACAGTGCAGCAGTATTGAGCTCCCGTCTTCTGTTATTGAGACGAATCAACATCTCCGAAATGAGGGATTATACTCGATGCAGATAAAAGGCCGTGGACGCATCTGCACGGTGATTGAAAGAGCCCTTCGGAGAACCCCCTTTTCAAAACCGGGGGCTCCCACTATCAGTCGAGCATCAAAGCCACAAGAATGTATATTATCCATTCAAAATGGACGGGGAAGATAGGGAGAGAAGAGAGGGGAATGCCGTATCGATGCCTCCCATCACACAAACACGGTGGGAATAGAAGGAAGCGCTAATTTCGGTGCAGGATACAAAAATGTTTTCAAACTGAGAAAAGAGAGGCTGGTCTGGTAGGTCTTCTCGCCGTTGCCTCTCTCTCTTTTTTTTCCCCCCCCCCCCCCCCCCCCTGGGTAGCCACTCCTGGGTGTTTTCGGAGGAAAGAGACCAACCATACGAAAGATACTGACTCGTAGATGACGAAAAGTGGCTTTTTTGCTGTTTGAATGCTCCGTTTCGCAATAAAAAATGAAATTAGCTGTCGTTCAATTAGGCTTAGAGTGCTAGCTCCAGTACCGTCCCCCAGTGTTGCCGGTTACCGTGCCGAAATTATGCTAGATTCAAGACTGTTTCAACCTTCGTACTGGCGTCTGGATCTTCTGTTTTTAATGTATGAGACATTTTTGTGCTGAGTTCATGAGTTGAGCTGAGTATGAAGCGGTGGTTAGCAGTTATTAGTTGACGTGGTGGGATATGCAGATATGTTACCCGGACATCCCTGAATTGACAGGATGGCGCGTACCATGGATTGCGTGCTTCTTGAAGCCATTCTCTCCTCAGACCTATTCGAGATGGTTCGAGGAACTCCAGATAGGCTAACGTAGGCCTAACGTTCCACGCCCAGCTGATATGGTTCATGAAACGCGAAACAGGCCTTCAATCGGTCTAACGTTACACGTCCACTCTGAAATGGTTCATGAACGTATGAATTGAGTTTATTTTGAAAAGAAAAATGTAGGCCTTGGCAGTCTGTTGATTAGGCCTAGGCCAAACGTTAGTGAGTCCCATAGAGAGGCGGGGAAGGTTGAAGAAAGGGAAAGCAATTGAAAATTGGTTTTCACATTACCTTATCACCCCATATCCCAACGGTTGCTACAGCAATTGCAACTGCGGACTGACGGAGTGAAGGACAAACTCTAAGATTGGAAATAAACCCAAGGATGGTGCAATAGTATAGACAATGAGAAAATTGGAACCTGTTCTGGACGGATTGTACAACTACAACTGTTGGAAAGTTATTATTTTCTCCCATTCTTCGTCGTTGGAGAAGTCTTTGGGAAATAAACATGGGCAACAGAAAAGAATAAAATCCAGACCAGGCACCGCTCGACTTCGGTTACACTTCCACATGCAGCCTCTCTCTTCTTTTGTCAACCATGGATTTCTCAGGCGGAAAGGCAGCTCTGGCCATTTGCGTAACACCCCGACACGGGCTGAGAGATGCGCATGAGTCTACTTTTCTATCGCAACTGCGGACAAACTGAAATAAATAAATGAATTTGCAAACCGATTGCAATATCTGACATTTTCCCACGAGTCACTTCGGAAATATAGATTAAGATTGTTTCAGGCACGACTGATAAATGAACCCATTTTAGGCTATGACTTGCGCGCGTCTGACTTCTGTTTGCAATCTTTCCAAAAGTCAAGGAAATAAAAGAAACACACTTTTGACGTAACTGTAACGGCCTAGAAGTAGAAACGCAACTGAAACGAAATGGGAGGAATAGAAACAAAAACATAAATATTGGAAGTTATCTGAGGAACAAAGCTGAAACGGAGTGAAATCCATTTCGCTAAAGTTTAGTCGTAAACTTGACTTCCAATTAATATTTGCCCTGGGCAGTAGAAGTCTGCATGTGACATGAAGAACCAAGTCGGTTCGCAGTTTATTAATGCACGTCTGGGATTCCCAGTTCAATGTCACGCGGAACACTCAAAACAAAGTCCATGGTGAAATCGACCTTCGATCAAGAGGCACTCGAGTTGTTGAACGAAACCACGCAGCAGATAATCCATATCAACGGACGAGAGAAAACGATAGAGACGGAGCAGATCTGAACAACACTTGAGCTGGTGCAGTTTCGCAATGGGGTGGAAGGGAGGTTGCGTGGGTATCCTGGTCTTCTGCCTCGCTGCTGGAGGGGTGCAGGCCAAGCTTCATCATCCAGAACTCCTGCCCATTGCCCTGGGGGGCCGCAATCCGGACTTAGTGCCGGGTCCTCCGTCTCGTATCTCCCCGGAGACTCTCTTCGCCCAAAAGTCTCTCATAAGGAGTCGGATTCTTCGGGAATGGGAAGGAATCCTTCGTCGAGTGCCTCAATTAAAACAGGGCCCAGGTAACACTGATATCGTGACAACGTCGAGTAAAAGTGGTAATGCTGAGTGATATGATCGCCAGAAGTGACGTCATCGCCTCAACGTAGTCATGACACTTGACCACTGACCAAGTGTCTAAATTTAAAAAATTAACTTCTGCTTCAATTCCCTGATTGTGTAAGAGTGAACTAATGACAGTAAGAGCTTTCACAAGCTCTTACTGTCTTTAATTTGTCTATTAGGGGCGGCTCATGCTAAGGGGGGGGTTCTGCAGGGCTGCAGCCCCCCAAGTCATCTCGGAAGCACAGGACCATTTTCCAATGTAATGAAATAAGCATTGAGATATTTTAATATAGTTTAGAGCACTGCGGGTTGCGCGTCCCGCAGCCTGCATGGAATACAATGAGGTATATGATCCATGTGCGAACTCCCCGTTTCCCCGCAGACCCTCATCACGCGCTACGGAGTGCGAGGGCTGTATGCCTATTCAGCCTATACGTATAAAAAACTTGGTCATGTTCGTCTACGTTCGGCGGCCCGGCCACATAGGCCATAGCTTGGGCTGCAGCCAAGCGCAGCCCCAAGTCCACATAGCGCGCCGGCGCCAGCCATCGCTCAGGCGATGGCTGGCACAGGCGCAGAAGGCACATTTGAGTCAGTTTCTCTTGCGTTGCGTCTGCTAGGTGAAACATCCCCGTGCAAAGAGAAAATCTGGTGCCTTGGCACCAGCCGCATGTCTGCGATCATTGGATTCCTTAATCTTAAATTTCGCGCTAGGTCCTAAATATTCAGTGCATGATATGCATTTTCACCATGTGTATTACGGGAGGTAAAATGTTGACTGATTCCTGCCCTTCGTATCATGCGCTGTCAAGAAGTCATTGAAAAGTTACAAAAGTGAAAATAAAACTGGACCAAATTGATGGACACTCTTCTTCATTCGTGACTGGAGCTTGTCAGTTCCAAACTTATCTCCCAGAACAGCGACTCTTTTGAAGCAGATGAGAAGGAATACGCTTTGGTGGTGACTACGAGTGGCACGTCGGCATAGGGAAAATGGTCGATCGGGACACTCGAGAGATTTCCCCCCCCCCCCCTTATACAATCTCTTCGACGTGAAGAATCCACCAAACCCTCCTCGAATATAACTTTTTAAGGGACTGATCGGATGCAGACGATATTTGACGAAAAGCAAATGGGACTAAAAGAAGACCTTTCCGCTGTATGTCAATAGGGGGCATTTAGGCCGCATATCCCTTACAAAACGTCCACCTCCCATGTGGATTTGGAACCAGGTGGATCGCCCCCTAGACAGTACTTGCTCCTGTTGGAGAGATGTCCACCCCAGAGAAAATACATACAAGTGGGAAATCCACCTGGCTCGAAATGCATGTGCGTGAATGGATAGGTAGATTTTCACTCGGGGGGAGGGGGAAGTCCACCTGGTTCCAAATCCGCTCCCCATCCAACTGGTTGGTTGACCAGGTAGATAGGAGGTGGACGTTTTGTAAGGGATACCACGATAAACATTAAAGAAGGAATATTAATAGAATCACGTCTGGCATTCGCAACACAGAGCAACACGCGCAGTAACGTGACGCGTTAATTCAGAATCTCTTCTATGATGAAAATTCAGAAAAGGTATTGATTTTTTTTCCAGGCCTAAAGGATTTTATACGACGTTCGTCGCTGCCATCTCTGATTTTAATCTACGATAACTTGCCTAAGTTTTGGCCAGGTTGCACGTAGTAACAGAAATGGACAGCGATCGATCGAAACACTTCCAACTCCAACTCAATTTATGACGGGATCAATTACACCTTTTTCTTGAGTATGGGGAAAATCTTTCGAGTCCATTTAAATATCAGCTGCATCCGGGCCTTCTTTGAAAAGGTATCCCCAAGCAAAGTTGGGTGATTTCTTTTATGACAAGTTTACCGTGCATGAGAAATGTGAATATTTCAGGTGACTTCCTTGATGCGCTTAACAGCATCCAAGATCCCCAGTGCAGAGCCCACTTCACCTTCTACCTCTTCGCTCTTCTTCCCTTCCTCCCGTCCGTCGCAGAAGACGACGACATTCTATGGGCTCTCTCCAGTGAGTCTCTCTGCGTTCTCTCGCTTTCGTCCTTCCCCGCTCTGAGATTTGCAACGTCCGGTTGAAAGTGCTGGACGCGACCGGGAAGATTCCCGAGGGGATCCTGGAGGGGAATCTGTTCGAATGGGGGAACTGGGACCAGTGCCTGGCCATCAAGGTCTCCCTCAACGAGTCCACCTTGCCCGAGGGGATCCAAGGCAACTTCACCGGGAAATATTGCCTCACGAACCTCATCTTCATGTACGCCTTTCCCTCGTCGTTTCTTCTTTGAGGAGCGGCACGTACCTCTCGATGTCTTTCTGCAAATTTTGGGGTAAATTCGAACGCTGGACATGGAGATGCCGGAATTCTGAATCCGTGGCATTGCCAAAAACAATGATAGGAGCATTGAAAATAAAAATGGCTATTCAAAAGTGATTCAGCGTGGAATCACGTAATCCTCCACGTCAAGGCTTTCTCCAGGCATGAATATACTTAACACATTTCAAGGAGAACACGTGATTATTGATAAGCATGTATTAGGTCATTGCGTACCTTTCATGGTGACTTGTGAAGTTCGTACTCTCAAGTAAGAGGCATTCCATCTCAAGCGGTCAAGGGGTGATTGCGTTTCCAACTCTGATTTGCTTGATGAATGTTGTGCGTGATGGCTTCCTTGATTTATGAAGAAAAAAAAAACATATTGGCGCTCTGGCTCCAACGGTTTTCGAGATGTGCTGCCCCAAAGTTAGTTCCCGAGAGGAAAAGTGACCATCTTTGGTCGTAGTCGAGCTAAAAAAGCGTTTTTGGACTCTGATTGAAGCTTAGACGATGTAGAATTTGATTATTTATTGGATTTCCTGCTACGTTCGTGACAAAAGGAGTTGCACAATTTCCAAAATTGTAAATATTGCCAAAATTTTCACGCAAAATTTTAACATTAGGATGAATGGTAACGCAAAAAGCCTTTCGAAAATTGCAAACTAAAGCAACGGTAATGTTAACAACTAATTTTCAACTTTCTATTTTGTTTGAAACAACTTAAAATTAAAATCGAAACGTCCAATATTGCCAACTTTCACCAATTTTGACTTTTTCTTCGTACTTCCTGTTTCGAACAAGATCCAAACTTGAAACTAGTGCCAATAAATGCTCTCTCCATGGAAGCTCTCTCCAAACTCTTTCTATTGATATACGACTCCTGTTGTTACTTTTACTTTTCGCGTCTGTATGTTTTTTTTTCCGAACTTTTGAACTCGCCGAATTCCTAATTGAAAGATATAACTCAAATTACTCAAATTACCGGTGATAGGAATCCCGGTGAAACAACCAGGCCTGGGCATATCTCACGTTTGACTCATAAATATCGCTATTTCTATTAAATACTCCCATCAAATATTAAAATGAGACAAAAACGTCACATATGATAAATACAAGTTCATGTATCATTACTACAATTTAGTCGGTATCCTTAACGCATGCATGCACGCAAAAAATGAAATTATGATTGCAGAATCGATAATTGCAGTAATTCATCGATCGAAGCCATTGCATTCCATCGAGCAGCATCTTCATTCAGATGCATACGACCGAGGATTTGAAATTTCAGGGACCCAGCACAGCGCGAATTGCAGATGAGGGCGATCCGCCCCAAACCCCGAACGGGTGGGCTGGGTGAAATGGCCTCGCTTCTCGGCGCCCTTCCACCTGCGATCGGCGTCTGCGTCCCTTCTTCTTGCTCTCATCAGGACCTTTCCGTAAGCCATCAGGTTATCTATCTCCTCAGAGGTTACAAATCATAAAGTGAAGCGAAGGATTAGTAGGACATAATAACCGACTACATAAGGGCATTGACCTATTGTGCTCCTACTCCAACAGAACTTTCTGATGGGAATCTTACCGATGCTGGGGCTTTCTGATGTCCCAATAATCCCTTACATGGACGAAAAATCCTGCCACGCCGAACCCTACAACGAAGAGGAACGGGGGACGAAGTTCACCAGGGCCGATATCATCGTCGCGTGCGTTTCTTTCCTTTCATCCTTTTCCATTCGTGGCTCGTTCGGAAGGTTGGAGGTTCCATCGGTTTCTCCGTAGGTGTGTCGTGATGGCTTTCATCATCATGGCTGCTTGCGGGACCATTCTCGACCTCAGCATGCAAAATGATCCCGATCGTTTTAAAGAAATTCGCAAAGGTAACGGAAAAGTAGAGTTAAACTAGCTCCTCCTAATAATAAAAAATTATTACGCTAAATAAAGACCATGATGAAAAGTAATTATGGAAACGCTTACAATAGTGCATTTGTGATCATACAAGTCATATAGTAATCACAGCGTACAATAGCCTAACAACCATTATTATTATTCTCATGCTGGTGACGAACGTGGCTGGTTGCAGACAAGAGAGTGATAGCTCTCATCTCCTTCTCCGTCTACACGAACGGGAAGAAAGTGCTGAACACCTCCTCCACGGCTGACACACTCGGGTGCCTCCATGGACTCAGGCGAGATGCCACCATTGACAGAGATTGCGGAAGCTGTCACACGGGAGACGCTTACATAGGCATTTCCTTTTTTCTTGCAGGTTTTTGTCCATGACGTGGGTGGTCATGGGGCACATCTATGGATTCTCCTTTGCGCCGCAGTGGAGGAACTTGGGGACTGCATTTGAACAGGTAGAGAAAAGATCAAAATCCAAGAATGAGAAAAGTAATATATTCAATAATTCATTCGATCTCGATTTACCTTCTGTTTCAGGGCTATATAATGAGGATTTCGGTTCTTGCCTTTACCATTCCTACAGTTTAGCTTCCGTCATAATTGATCACTGCAATGCAGAGGAAGTACCAGATATACTAGTTGTGTGGTTTAAATTTGGGGAGGGGGTGAACAATGATGTACTAACAGCAAATTCGAAGCCTGAAAGTTATGCTGCACCTTTCATGTTGGCCCAATGTGAATTCCCGAACGTTGGCCTCAGGTGGGGGTTGACAGTGGGGCCACGGATCAGGCCTACGAGGGGCCAACGTTGGTTTCTAACGTGAGACCCACATCGCAAATGTGAAATTCCAATATAGACTCAACGTCAGCCGAACGTGGGTGAGCTGCCTGGGTGTGAATATTCCAGTAATCGTTTTCTTAACGGCGAGGAAAAGTATCATTCACAGATAGATCAATTTTTTGCTAGCATATGACACAAAAATAGCACTTTCAATAAAAGGGGAAAAGGATCTAATTATACTTTTCTCGGGCATTTCTTGACTATAGATCACTTTTCCTCCCTTATTGCCCTTCATTTATAAATCCTCCGATGAGTAAATGTCCAATGTACATTTGCATACAAATCAGTCCAGAAGCAAATTACAAGTAGATTCGGTTGGTTCTCCCAACTTGAGACTTTTCCCATCAAATTTTTTATTTCACATGAAGGCAGCACCTGCATGGCGTCATTGTCTCTGAGTTGTAAACCCAGTTTAAAATTTTATTGCAAAGACGCAAAAAAATGAAGATGCAGAAAAGATCGAATTAAATATAATTAGTATTCTTCCCACGCACATAAAACATATACCCTCTCATGGGACATTTGATAAACAATTTGGGCCCTGCAGCCGTCATATGACGTCCTACGCCCATAGCGCGTTCAAATTGCAAGGGCTGAAAGTGTTAAACGAATAATGTTTTGAGTGGAAACTGTTCCTAGATGTTCAGCGACTGGAGGTTCATGGCGATCGCGAACGCGACAGTGTCCGTGGACACGTTCTTCTTCCTGAGCGGGCTCCTGGTGGCTTACATCCTCTTGAGAGACCTGAAGCGGAGCAAGGGGAGGTTTAACCCCATCCTCTACTACCTGCATCGGTTCATCCGACTCACGCCTACTCTGGCCATAGCCGTGGCGTTGTTGGCCACCCTGTCCAGGCACATGGGGAACGGACCCGTTTGGTCCACGGCGGAACTCCAGGCGGAGGTGTGTCAAGAGGATTGGTGGAGGACCATTCTCTACGTATCCAACATTAAGATCGACGGTCGATTTGGACAGTGCCTGGGACAGGTTCGCACCACTATAACCAATCCTTCTTCATCGCATAAACTCACGAACGAATAGTGATGTGAATCAGAAGAGAATCATGGAATCGACTGGAAAAAATCGCTAAAAAAAAATTGTTCACAAGCTGCCACCTTCACGTCTTCTAGTAATAAAGGCATTTAGGAAAGCCAGACAGTGGGAGAATGCAATTTAAACTTTATAAATCCAACGTTTCAGTTTAGGAACGTTTGCCCATTCCATTTTGAGGAAATTGGACCATCTCCCTGGCCTTGCAGTTCTAGTTGCATTACTATTTTAAAAATAATGCAAAATAATTTAATGACTTTTTAATTCATGCGTTCCTGTGATGAATTTGATTCTTTAAGGATTCGCGGCAACACATTCCCACGATTGCATTGCAGGCATGGTACCTGGCCTGCGACATGCAGATGTATTGGTTCAGTCCCTTCCTGGTCGTCCCGCTCTTTTTCGTCCCGTTCACTGTCGGTCTCGGCTATCTCGTCATCGCCATGATCTTCTTTGGTTACGTGGGGCCCTTCATTAATCACTACATACACGAATTCCCTGCTACCTTGATCCCGACGGCAATGTTGAACGATCCCGAAGGAAATTTCTTCGCCAAGGCATACATGGTTGCGTATGTCAGGGCGGGACCCTACGTTGTTGGCATCATCATGGGCTACATCCTTCATCATTCCAAGGGGAAGAAGATCAAAATGTCGCTTGTGAGTCCATTCAATTCTGTTTATATATTTTTAGGAAGAAATAGGCCCATCTTCAGTACCTCCTATTGAACCCAGTGAAAAATGTACCTCGCACTGAAGAAAATCGAATGAACTCATCGACTCTAATTCATGATTGCAAATTTCTAAAAATAATTTTTGGTCAGTGTCTCAAAATCCGTTATAATAACGTTAATGCAAGTAAAGTCCCAAAATCTTAAGGAAGTCAGCGCGATAACTGGCGACTCCCGACTATCTCACATTAAGTTTCTTCAGCTGAGTTATTTTAGTAATTCATCACTCGCAGTTTCTCTCCTATTTACGTGCGCACATACTATACTCAAATTTATTGCTGTAGAAAATTCATGGCAAAGACTTCAATATCGTCATTGCCAATGGATCATGTGAAAATGGGATTGTGGAGTTTTCTTATAACAGAGGCAGAGAAGTATTGTCGAGAATGCGAAATCATTTTTTTCTTCCGAATTATTCTGCAGAGAATGATGAAAGGTTTTCTTATGTCCGATGATGATGCAGCCGACTGTGGCTCTGGGCTGGGGGGTTGCGACGGCGACCGCGCTTGCCATCATCTACGGCCTGACGGAACAATTCAAATTGGACGGAGAGCAGCTGTCTGTTACCGCGAACGCCTTCTATGGTGGTTTCCATCGCACTGCCTGGGCGACGTGCGTGGCCTGGGTCGTCTTCGCTTGCGTCAACGGATATGGAGGTACTCTTCATCTGCCTTTCTAGGGAAATATTCGAGTGTAGGGCCTGGATGGTTCCTCCATCACATGACTCTCGGGCAGGGGTGCCGAAAGTGTGGCCAGTGAGGAGTTTTTATTTGGGGGGAGGGAGAGTTTGGATTTTTACTCTGAAGATGAGGGAAAAGGACAAAATATTTTAAACTTTAAATGTGGAAAGTATTTTAATTAATGGCATGTCTGTTGCGCGGAATGAATGAAGTGTTGCCTGGGGAAGACCAAATCCACTCGCGCGTGAACACGTCACTTGTCTCACTAAGAACAGTCAAGTACGGTGCGTCGTCGAAACGGGTTCATTCAACGCGGATTGTGCTTATTGGTCGAGCCGAGATCCCATGCCAAGAGCATTATTTGCGTGTGAGTTGGCGAATTAGTTTGGAATCTCATTCTTCCGCGACCGCGTCGACAGTGGGTAAGAAACGTCGTACTGAGGAAAAAATCGTTTGTTTTAAGACAAGTGGACACACGAGTACTTTGCTTTCGAACAAGGTATCGAAGAAACCTCTCTGTAATTTGCAAGCCCAAAAAAGCAGCGATGAATGAATGCAACACGAAGCGTCATCATGAAACGAATCACAAAACTGACCAATTCGTTGGTGATCAACGGAAGCAAAAAGCTGAGAATTCGCGTGAGGGACTTTCAGCTCATCATTCAAATCTTGAAGAAAGTGACGCAAGCTAAAGAAGCTGCTCTCTATGCTAGTTATGTCGTGGCCCGCGAAATCGCCAAGCGGAGCAGACCATCCGGTGACGGCGAGTGCATCAGAGACTGCATCTTTGAAGACGGATATCGTGAGGTTCACAATGCAGGTTCCTTTTGCGACCTTCACCTCGACCGGCAGACCTCCCGGCCCCAACGGACCCGCCAACGGCCACCTTATGGCATCTCCCTTTGGAAGCGCATACATCTGCGAGAAGGCTTTCTCAATTATGAACCTCGTTATAGCAAAATAGCGGACAAGACTCACGAATGAACATCTTCACTCAGTGCTGCGAATCTAAACCACCAACAAGGAGCCAAGGTATCCTCAGGTGATTGCTGGAAAGCGCCAGCTGCATGTGTCCCACAGTCGAAAGCGTTCTTTTTCCTATTGTATTTATTCTGCAGAAGTGCAAGTTTCCTATTTTGCGACCCAACTAGCACGCACCCCACAGGCCACGCGGCCCCCATGACCCAAAACTTTGGGCACCCCTGCTCTAAGGTGTCCGATTCGCATGCGTTTTGACTTGATAGCAATTATGATTACGATATACAAAATTCGTTACATTTCATTGGTAATGGTATGATTATACAGGATCATCAGCCAGTCAGCTCCTTTAACCAAAGCCATAAATATTTAACCCTGAAGAACGTAGCACGGGGGTACAAAAACCTCCACGTGGCATGGGAATGGTCCAATAAACCCTAAATACGAGTCTCGAAACTGACTCCCATCACGTATAGGGTTCGTGAACAAGATCCTGTCTTGGAAGGCGCTGATCCCCTTCAGCCGATTGACCTACTGCAGTTACCTGCTTTCTCTCAACATCCAGATCATCTACCAGAGTTCCCGAAAGCACGTCGGCTACTTGGATCATCCCACGATGGTAAAATTTCCATCGTGCTCGTATACCCCTGCTCTTTCCACCATGTCTTTTGGCGGAATAAGAAAAAGTTGCAATTTGAGTAAGTAAATTGGATTAAATTAAAGCTGATGCTCAAAATTGAAAATGCCGGAAACAGAAAGGCATTGGTACAGCATTTTGTTGGCGCTTCAGCAGGATGACTTTAGTATTGTATGGTATATATGCATTGAGGTGTACTGGTTCCTGGGGATCCTGGCCATCACTGAGATGGGTGCGTTCGTCTTCTCCCTCTTGTTCGAGTCTCCGTTCCTGGGACTGGAGAAGGTGATCTTTCCCCTCTTGGACGAGTGGATCGTGACCCCCATCGCCCAAGCCCTGCCTTTCGAGTTCGGTCAGTCGCGAGTTCGATCGAGTCCTTCGCGAGTTCTCCCTTCGAGAGGCGCCATTCGTTCTTTATTCCCCAGGCCCTCGCGAGACCTTGCCACCGGTTAAAGAGGAGCTGAAGGAAGAGGTGAACGAGAAGATAGCCATCATCACGGAGGACGTTCTGAAGTCAGAGGGAATGGAATTCCAACCGGAGAAAGTCCACCCTACGACCATACTCTGACAAAATTTCCCCATGTATAAAATATCGGGTATTCGTTCGTGAAACAGTCACAAAATATCATCAATTTCAGTGAAATATGATGTCTGAGTGCTTGACTGGGCCATTCCGCCCCGCACTCAAAAGTGCGATGAAATATTCCTTAACCTTTAGCCAAATGAAATCGCTGCGCTGGGTACAGCCGCAAAATATTGCAACTATTATCACAAAAGCCTAAGCCTAAAAGTAATTATGTGCTGGCACATGACCAACGCCGGAAGAGTGACACCACAGATGACGTAGTCCTGTGGATAAACGGATATGCCCACATATTGAAGGCTCTTATGACTGGAGCCTCTGGAGCTACAGGCTCATCCCCACGAGGAAACTATAATAGGGAAGCGAAGGGAATAGGGAATAGGGAACTGAGGAATACGGAAGCGAAGGCAAACAGTGGTCTCACAGCGTTTCACTTTTTTTGGCCAGAACTTTATTTTTATATCTGTGTTGCTCTTCGTTTTAAACTTTGTTTTCTTTTGCTTTGTTAGCGAAACGCAAACATTTCTTTCAGCTTTGAGAATTTTTCCCATCGAGTGCAACGAATCTTGGATGAAGTTCATCATTTTAGGAGTGACTCACCGAGAGGAAATTCCTGTTTCGAAAAAAGTTTTTCGTCATAAGTCGCTTTGGGAAGTCTCCAGGTGAAGCGAGAGAAAATCGCATGAAAGTCGAAAATGAAAAGAAATCTGGAACGCGAAATAACGGATGGCGGTTGAGAGGCTGGATCTTCGACAAAGGAGAAATCGCATTTCCTATGAGAAAATGGAAGATAAGGATTCACAAGAAGCCCGAGAGAGACACACGAAAAATCTGCCCGATCCAGACCCGAGCCTCTAGCGAGAACGACTCCCGAGATCCCTCATAGCTCCTCATGGCTCCTCGATGCCCTCAATCTCATTCTGCCTCAGCGACACACTGCGAGGACCTAGGAGCCTGCTCAAGTCAACCGTACATCCCCACTGTGATATGCAGGGTGGTGCAAAAGCAACTTGCCCCGAACATTTTGTGAAGTACTCCAATTAATTACTGTAATTTAGTTTCGTTCGTTTACAGAGTGACATGAAAATGACTCATCGTTTGACAAAAGACCGACAAAATTTGGAGCATTGGTGGGAAACGGAGCGAGCACGAGCAAAAAGCACAGAACGCTCGGAAAAGGTACTTTTGCACCACCCTGTGTACAGGGTGTTTGAAACGTCAAAAACCATTGTTCAATTTTAAAATTGAACAATGGTTTTGTGACAAAGGAAACAGAATTCGATGGGGTTTCAAGATTTTTTTTGTTTGCAGTAACCTTTCACAGTGTCAAAATTTGACCTTCGAAACCGTGCGCAAATGGCTGCACGGTATGAGATGTGAAGGTGGAAGAGGTGGGAAACTCCTTCCACCTCTGGACCTGACGGAGGACCTCCATACCTCATAGTCCCTTCGGCAACCTGAAAAATTGACTGCATTCGCTCATATCGGGCGAACGAGGGCATTCTATGAGCTCGTTTCCACTCTATCGTGACGTTTATCAAAGCACTGGCCGAGAGAGAGAGAGAGGAAATGAAAAATCGGTGGCATTCCCTCGATAAAATAAAAGAAGAAATTCCTACCGATGACTGGACGCACGGCACTCGAGAGTTTTGTGACTGAGACCACCCTCGAGATAATCCTTATCGGCAAAACAAGGGAGCTCTTCATTCCAGTCACACTCGACGAAATTGAGCTTCGCAATGAAACGGGAAGGAGGCCGCGTGGGGATCCTGGCCTTCTGCCCCCGTCGCTGCACGGGGTCCAGGCCAAGCCTCAGCGGCCAGTTGCCCTGGGGTACCAGGGCTCGGTACGCGTCGGTGCACGCCGGTACACGTCGCCAAGGAGTCTCTCTCGTCAGACGCTAGATTCTTAGGGGATGGGCGGATATCCGTCCGACACAGTTCTCCCGAAGGAACAATCCAAATCGGGCCGAACAGTCGAACTACTTTCGCGTCTAAGCGATCTTTCGGCAGGAACTATGCACTAATTTTGCACAGAATGGTAGCGAAGGTCATGAAATGATGGGCTAACTGGACAATTTAAATGCAAGTTTCTATGAGTGCCACAAGGAAACTCCACAGATCCAGTGAGGTGCATGAGTTGCATTAGGGTAGAATTTGAGGTAGAAGTACGCATAAATTCAGGCAAGGCACGCCGATGGTGACGATGGTGAATAAATGGAAAGAAAAGAGCGACGTCTCTCCTCTCCTTCGTCTGTACGAATGGGAAGAAATTGCCAAACGCGTCTTAAACCGTTGATTTCATCCGTGCCTCCATCGTCCTCGGGCACTGTTGACCGAAACGGCAGAAAAACCAGACGAAAAGCATCACTATTCCTGTATTTATATCTACCTTCCCTACAGATTCTAATCCAAGACGCTGGTGGTCTTAAGATGTGCACATTGGAACGCCTTCGCTCCGAATGGAAGAAGTTGGCAACAGCACTTCAGGGCGTAAGAGAACCACCAACCGAAATTAATAGAACATTTGACTCGTGCCACCTACGTTCACTTGTATTTTCGGCGATATCAGAAAGAAAGTGGCGTGATGCCACTGAGCCCTGCTTTACATTTAAAAGTTGTGTCTCTTCCCAAAAGGATTCTCTTTTAACCCTTTAATATATCCGCGGGGTAAGCAACGATAAACAAGAAGCTCGTGGGTCCAGTCAAATTTTTTTTTTGGGGGGGGGGGGAGGGGGGAGGGTTTTGGTTTTTGGTTTGGGCAACTGGTTTTGCAAATGATGTATGTCACTGTTTTTATTGGATAAAAAATTCCTTATTATGAATGTCCAGCATAACTTTCATTCTAATTATCCAATATGCAAAAGATTTCAGTTGCATCAGTGGTTCTTTCTGCCGCATCGTCATATAAATCTCCGTAATTATTTTCATACTCTTATTTTCAGGAATAACGTGGAAAAGTGGGAAAAGGATGAAACCTGGTAAAATGACCAGGAAGATAAGTGTAGACTAATGTATCTATAGCAAGAAAATTTGTCAAGAGATGAGAATTTTGGGAATCTGCTTCCTTTACGTCATATGAAATCGTCACTCGCGTGAAGGTACAGGTCCTGCCAGCGTGATGGTACTAAGCAGTACTCGGCGAAACATTCCCGTAAAAGGCAGTCGCGAAGAGATGCCAGAACCTCAAAGCCCCCAGGGGATTCATTACGAACAGAGAGAAACGGCACGGCGTTCCCCGTTCGACCGCAAGCTTATGCGTGCACATAGAAATCATGAGAACATAAATCTATAGATTCTGCAAGACCCTCACGAGCTTCGTGAGGATCTTGAGAGACAAAAAGCCTTCCAAGCGGTTTCCGGTGTTCCCCTTGCGGAAAAATCCTATAGGATCCTATAAGATTTTCGAAACATGAAAATCTTATAGGATCCTATAGGATTTTTAGGGTCGAGAGAGCGTTTCGAATGGTTGTAATATCGCTTCGAAAACCATGGGATATTGCGACTCGCGAGAACCACGTGGTAGCTCTTGAAGGAAGGGGCTCGACATGAACCATTTTTCGCTATTTTCGCTTAATTGTTACTCGTCGAGTCGATCGTGTGAATTTCCGAGATCGTTGCATTCATTATCTGCCTTGGCAAAGCCCTGAAATCCCCGGTAGCTCCAGGAATCACATCGTTTCGGCTCGAATCTGGCTTAGTTCGACGAAAATGGTTCTATTAAGGTTTCACTGCCGTACCAAAATCGGTTCCAATCCGAACCTTTATTAGAGTGTATATTTTAGGAAAGGCTGCAGGAAAAGGCCGTCTCGTTAGTAGTTGGAAAAGGTTTCTTAAGCGTGCATTCCAGCTGAGAGATCCGGCGAACCTAGAGCACAATCGATTCGTTTATCGAAAACCTCCAGCTTCCGATTTACATTAGGGTGGTTCTCCATCACGATGCCGAAGACCCAAGGAATTCCGGGCTAAGGAGTAGCAACGGCAACGGAAACAGCCATAGTCTACAGCGTGGAAGAACTGATTCAAAGTGGACGGGGAACGGCTGCCATCTACGGCAGTTGCCATCTATGGCAGTTGCCATCTATGGCGATCGCCATCTACAGCGGTTGTCATCGCAAAAAAATAACCTTTCACCTGGATCCTCTTCGCTTGTCAACATGGAAGTACTCACGGTACCGCATATCTATGGCATAAATTATGCTTGTGCCTCGGATTACGTAAGTTTTCTACTTATACCTTTGCAATGTATGGAGGCAAATCATATCTTTATGGATAGCTTATCCCATCGTGTATCACGAGAAGTACATGGACATATTTTCAGACAGCAGTGATGCAACGTCTGTAGCGCACAACTTCGGAATCGTCAACGACTTCGGGACTTCAAAATTGTACCATCACTGAAGATAAGTACCCAAAACGACTGACGAAGCCATTCCGACACGGTATGAAATGTAGAGAATTCCCTTACGCCGCGAACGTGTTGAATTGTCGAAGGCCCGAGAGAGAGCAGAAATCGGAGATAAGTTAAGAGGGAGAATGAAATGAGAAGAATGGACACTCCGTCACCTGCTTAAAAAGGATTTGAATATCGTGGACTTTCGCAAGACCTGTCTTCGGATGGAAAGCGGCATTCCTTGGACGACCCGTTGCTATGCCGAATGAGGCATCGGCTGCTCTCGTGGTTTCAAATGCACTTTCACTTCGATTGGATTTCCTTTCGTGACTGAGCAGGCAGTTGCCTTTTTTCCGCCGTCAATCGATCGATCGATCGATATCGTGCAAAAGATGTTGCCGAAAGAATTCCTCTTCGTGCTCGGATACAGAGTTTGAAGGAGAAGAGTCGGGTCGGAACCTGCAAAAGTCTCACCTGGCAGCAGTGTAGATCGGAAGCAAATCACGCGGTTCGACTCCTATGCGCACGGGAGGTAACGGGATTCATCAGAGATGTCGTGTGCAAAAGTCTAACTCGTTTTCGGATAATAATTTTTAAAATGTTACCTTTTTTATAAACACGGCACATTTATAAACTCACATGCGTGTACAAAGTCAAAATTTGTTTAGCAAAGAAAAAAGTCATAAATATGTATGCTGCACATACTCGGGACATCGAACGCCTCGAAATAAGTCATCGGATTGGTCTATTATTCACCCAAAACAACTGAATCATGAGCATGATTCTTGTCATGAAGGGCGTTGTTCTCTCGAGGAAAGAAGACGGTGGAGGTTTTAAGTTAATTTTTAAAAAATCCAATATGGCGTCCAGAGGAGAGTATTACAGTATTGTAGTATATGGAGAAATGTGTTGGGTGGTCAGTTTCATAGGGTGACCTCGAAAAGGCACGGTGTACGTGTGTGAGATTTGAGGGGTATTGGCTCCAGAGGATTCTGACCATCGCGGAGATGGGTGCATTTGTCTTCTCTCTCTCGTTCGAGTCTCCGTTCTGGGGACCGAGGAAGGTCGTCTTTGGAACGGATGGATTGTCGATCCGTAAGGAAAAATTTTCCTCCTCAGATCCCGCGAGTCGCAGTGTTGAGAAACCTGCAAACACACTCTGACGAAAATTCCCCCAGTCATCTCGAACCGGGTCTTCATTCGTGAAACATTCATATCAAATACGGTCACTTCGACTCGAATATGATGAATAAGTACTTGGACGGGACAGACTGCACTCACACGTGCGATGAAAGAATTGGATAGGTACCGATCACTGAGTAGTAAAGGTCTCACCATGGCATTACACTCGCATCGGCCTTCATTGGCCGTCGAGCCAGCGGGAGATGCGTTCGTAATTGGATTCCATCCAAGCGATGTTGGATTCCACCTTTTCGATGGCTTGCTTCGTCGCCCTCTCGGCGTCTCCCAATCGACCCTCGTGGTTCTTGTAGAAATCTTTCATCTGCAAAGCGGGAAAGCACACGGCGCCTCGCCATCACGAGGAAAAGTTGGAGGAATGCAAGGCGAGAGGAAATAAATTGGCAGCGATGATGGATCTGATCTCTATGCTAGCCGTTTTTTATTCGTTACGTTTGTACCGATTCCGCTCTTAATATGGAGTTTATTAATATTACATAATATTACGTATTAATATTATCGGACCTCTGCGTGGGGTTGAACATTTGAAGTTTGAATTAAGGAACTTCGTAGGTGTTGCCACATAGGTTTATACAAGGTTATATATTTAAGAATAAGTTTTAAAGAATGTACACTATGAAGCATTAATACTGTATATTTTAATATTGGCTATTCAGGGTTCTTCATCGAGATTATTATGAAACAGTAAAACTTGGAGAGACTCTATCGTGTAAATCACCTGTTATTCAGGGAATATGGCAAAAAAAACTATTAGAAGATCCATACATTTCAGTGTTTACGGCATATTAGAGCATCTATTATGGGAATTTAAAGCCTATGCCTTACAATTTTATAATGCGAAAAGAGCCATAGATATGGAGAAGCAGAGTTTATGATTGAGATCGAAACATATGAGGAAGTCCGAAGGTTGTGAAATAATTAAAGTTTACTCTAGTTTCACTTTATTCGAATAACCATTACTCATTACTTAAATTTTGCTTCATCTCATGCCAGCTAAATACGTATGTTCTCCTACCCTGGCTCCCTTTCGCGCGCAATTAGCTGGATAAAATTTATCACGACTGGGCGAGGAAGTTCCCGATAGGAAAGGTTCTCGTGAGATTCTTCTTCGGAGAAGAGGCTCCTCTTCTCAGAAGATAATTCTTAATTAGAAGAGGGTAAAGAAAACGGGAAACTCACCAGCTTCAGATAGAATTGGGTGTTGAATTTCCGGCCGAACGGACTCACGAATCGAGACAGAGAGAACAGGCCACCCGCTCCCAAGCTGATTTCAATGAGAAAATTCCAGAATTTAACAACACCGTGGGAGACTCTTTCACGTGGAAAAGGAAAGGAAAAGCTCTGACTAGTCCCGGATTTTGTCGAAGTTGTCTTGGATGTAGTCGAAGGCCAAGTAGATGCCGACGTCGTTGGAGGCAACGCTATCGAACACCTTCGAGATGTCTTGCTTTCGGATCCCGGATTTCTCGTCCAGCATCATTCCCAGATACCTTTATCGGAAACCCCCCCGATAAGGTGGCCAATAATTACTTCCAATAATTACTTCCATTAATACGTCTGAATGAAGTCTTACTTGCTGAGGATCCAGACTTCATTGGTGCATCCCAGGCTGGACATGATCTTCGACTTCTCCGAGGCCACGTTCGTCTTGTCCATGTGTTTCAATGCGAAGTTCCACTCTTTCTCTTTCCCTTCTTGCACTCCATAGCAATACACGATGCTCTTTGTGTTCGGACTCAGCCTATCCAGAAAATTTGAACCAAAATTATTATGACAGCGATGGAATGAAAAATAACATCAGACCGTCAAAGAAGAAAATTCCAGCGGAAAATGAACAAAGAAATGAAAGAAAGCAACATAAAACTTTTAGGGTTTAAAATGAAAAAAAGAGGCAAGCCAATGCGGATCTTGAAAGCAAACAAGAACAAATAAAATAGGGGCAAACTGTGGGATGAATGAAAACATGAAATTGATAACTATAGCTTAAAAAAAAAGAACAAAAACTAAGAGGAAAACTACTATTTGAAAATGAATGATAAAACATGGAAACATCTTTTTGGGGAAAAAAGTACGATTTTTTCTGCAAGTTTGTGAGATATAGGTATTGCCAATGGTCAGGCGATGGGGATGTGAGGAGGTATGGTGAAAGTAAGGTTCGAAGTGTTCGAAGAGACACGAGACGAAGACTAACAGGGGTTTGTCCGGCTGAGTGGAATCGTATCTGTCCATCCACTGCTGGAACTGAAAGGTGGCATTCGAGACGCAAGAGGAATGGTCCAGCTGGCAAGACCAAGACATGAGGTTGGTCGAAAGGAAGACGTCCGCGATCCTCTCGTACGACTCCTCCACGTCATCGATTCCTTCCAGTCGCAGGGACGACAGGTGCGGGGCCAGCAGCCCGAGTAAGTATTCCTGGATTCAAATTTAGTCACTGAATAAATTCATCATCAACAACACGACCAGATCATAATAAATAATCTGATAAGCTGAGAAAACTCAAATCCGGCATAGCGAGTCCTGTTTTATGAAGTCATGTTGGCGAAATACTTGTATACTCTTTGGACAAAAGAAATCATTCAATCGTGCAAACTATTATTCATTTTTTCAATAGAAATCTATTCAATTGAAGTCTATGCAATTCAAAAGAGAGAAAGAAAAAAAGACTGCGAACGATAGAGTTTCCACTTCCCCATAGACTTTAATGGGGTACATATTTCCCCCTGCAGGGTTCACGGAATACAAGAGATTCAGCTATAGGTTTGCGCTTCCTTTGATGCTGACAGAAAAAAAGGGTCTCCCTAATACTGCACATCCGTTCATGCAGTTAAATCGCCAGTCTCCGATCAGAGACATTTCCAGAAAACACCTGCTTGCACTTGCTCGCTCATATGAGTCAAAGAGCAAAGCAAGCCCTATCCATCTGATTCGGAATGCCGCTATGTGATGACTGAGTTTCTCCCAGGCATCAGGAAGGACATAGAACGTACCCTGAACTTGCCGTAGAGAGAGGTGGTGGTGAGCATGTTCTTGATGTATCCGAGATTGCGGAATGCGGCGGACCAGGGCAAATACTCCTTCTCCTTCGCCAGGTATTTCGTCAGGTCGAAGGGAATGTCATAGGACAAGAGTCCCGCCCGGGCCAGGGCAAAGGCGTCGTCCAGGATCTGTGCCCGGTTCACCGTGTCTGCATGCGGTACATACAGAAAATTTGTAACGTTGTAAGCAGAGTCGAGGAATTCATTCGCAATGGGTTGTAGGGAATGGAGACACAGACTTATTTTGAGATGATCTTCGAGGAGCTGTTTAGTGAGTTTCTGCCAGTTGTCCAGATCGTAGTTGACACGGTAGTATCCCGTCTGATGGACGTTGAAGATGACCCATTCCCTCTCGGGGAGATCCGATATGGTGATGGATTCTCCCTTCGCCGTGAGCCAGGCCTTGGGTTGTGTGTCTGTGAAATCCGCTCGGGATTTCGTCGTGTAGGACAAGGGAACGTACCACTTGTACCCGAACGCGCCTTCCTCCGCGTCCGCACCCAGCTTCCCCAGCAGGAAACGCGTCTGCATCAAACAAGGCAAACGTGTGAGCACGTGCAGCGAAAACCGAGGAGAGCGAAGAACAAGCTAGGTGAGCCGATTTCAGCAGTGGGCAATGCCAACAACGGATCCGTCATCTAAGAAGGCCGGAACGAAACTGGTAGCCGTGGTTTGCGACCCTGACACAGGCTTAGAACTACGACTGCCACTATGAGGTCGAGATCCGCGAAGACCGGTGGCTGCTCGTGCCTAATACGCTGAGAGAAATGCGAAATTAAAAATTAAAAATTCACAAAATAAATAGTGCTTTCGTAATAAATAAATAAGTAAAAAATGAATTAGTTTGTATCTTGTCCATATCTATTTCCACGTTAATTTCCTTAGAGAATAGGCCAACAATTTTTCATATTTCGTCAGAAAAGGAAAGTGAGAGACAAAAAGACACAAGACGAGAACTATAATTAGAGTCTTTCCGGTCTGGCAAAGAGGCCCACCAAACCGTTAAAATTAAAGTAGGAGGTGCTATATGGTTCAAACGTGCGTGAAAACTTCCGGGGGAAATATCACGATTCTCACTCGCACTGAAGTTCGATGCCATCAAGACGAAATATAATGATGATGTCGATGGACTTAACTCATCATGAAAGTAAAGTTGCTCAATAAATCGCGAAAACTAGAGTAACTTACAATAATAAAAAATTTAAGGTCCAACAGATGGGTCATTCCTTCCAACAGGGTATTCAAATCAAACTGCTCGAATATTTCAAAGGATTTAGCATTTATTAATATTCATATATTTTAATAGAAGTTATTATATGCCCGGCGTTCTTCTTCCTCCTTTAAAATCAGACAAACCATTTAGCATTAATATGTTATTCAAATGCCCGTCATCTCCATTCAGCCATTTTTTTAAATCTGAAGATCTATGCAGCAGAAGGCGAAAGTAAAGATCTTCATCTCTTCAATGAATCTATCAGATGTGAAAAGTTGAAAACCTCATTACTCACTCGAGCGAAGAAAATATATTTCCGAGAGTAAAAACATCACAGCTTCGAGGCTTCATTTTTTGGAATGACTGATGCTGATTTTCTTAAGATGAATGCAATATGCAATAAATAAATAAAATTGGAAGGAAAGTCTGGAGGGAAGGGAGACCGCAGAACATTCTCGCGCAAAGAAATAAGTTATTTTCAGGCTTCTCTTCCGTTGGGTTAATTAGGAAATTGCGAGTCCGTCAATGAGGTCTTCCTACTTTAAAGGCCAAAATTCGTCGAATCCTGGAAGAGATTTCACAGGAAGTTTCTACTGGTAGGACGCAATGTGACCAGCTCCTTCAACAGGCTGCGATCAGGTCACATGGGACCTTCATTCATCATGGAACGACTGGTCGTGCTCCAAGAAAAGTCCTTATACTTGCGTGATACAGCCGTGTCTTCATTGTAATGAAGATATATCAAATTATAACTTATGAATTGTTTAACAACCTGTATTCGTGAAAAACCATCCGAGGATTGACCTGCAACAGTGCAGATGAAATTCTCTGGACATTGGACATTTAGAAGCTTGCTCTTTCATTCATGTTCCTCTTCTGGAATGTATTTATCGACGACGTCACTGCGTATCTCCTGTGACTGCAGCCAGTGGCGTATTTTCTGTGGGGAGGGGGGGGAGCCGCTCCCTATCTGGCAGCCTTTCAAAATGTCTAACGCCCCTCTAAGGGATTTTTCTCGCCCCTGAGAACCTCCCGACAGCAACCACCCCCCCCCCTACTCCTCTCCCCCTTTGGCCTTCGCAATACACTTCCGAGAACCTATTTCCCTTAGCTCATGAACCAAAATATGCCACTGCTGTAGCATATATAAAAATAGAGGCAGTTTTTTTCTGCAGAATTCCAGTAAAAAACTAAGTCATTCTTCGCATTCCTATTCAAAGATCGAAGATCGTCCAGTTACGCGCGTGAGAACCTTGATCGAGACACGAAAGAACCAGGTCAGTTTGAGGTCAGATGAATCCCTCGGATATCCAGTGGTAATCCATCCCAGGATGGACACGTGATCCGAGGAATGTCCTTGCGTGCGTTCCGTATCGGATGACAAAGGCCATTCCATGCCTTCTTTCCCTAACAATCACAGCGGCCATCAGCCCAGGCAATGCTTAGATGAGAAAGGGGAGCAGAGGAAAGCCAAAGCCTTCGTGGCGGCCGTTTCCTTCATCGTGAAAAGGAGCCCACCCGCTGGGAAGACGTAGTTCTTCCCGTGACCCCATAGGCTTCAGAAGGATTTCTCAAAGGGGGAATCCTTTGAAGCCCCCTCCATTGTCTTAAAATTAATTATATAATTATACTTAATCGACTTGGAAAGGAAAAAAAAAAAGGTACCGACCTGGGAAACAGTGGTGCCCCGTCCGTCTTTGGTCCTGTTGACGGTCAGGACGGGGAACCCCTTCTGCAAGGTCCACGTGTCCATGATCGCTTTCACGGTCATGTCCTTCGGCAAGGTCCCTTCGTCGTGGCCCTGCTTGGTCAAGGACGCCCAGAGATTGTCCTGCTTCGCCACATCGTATTTGAGGGACTCCAAGTAATTGGTGAGACCCCGCCGGAACGTGCCGTGCGTGAGGAAATAATCCATCATCCGGATGATCGATGCCCCTAAACATTTCCATACCGTCTTCATTTCGCTTTCGCACCTCAAGCAAATTAAATGTCATGTGGGATTGAATCTGAGCATGGACTTCTGCAGATGTGACTGCAATCAACCATCGTTATGGGGAGACAATTTCTCATTTGGCTATGCCAAATCGAATTTTTGTGCCAATCCAAAATTTACATGTCCATTTTTTCAAATCGATGAAATAATGTGGAGAGGAATACCTTTGGAGTAGGTGACGGTCGAGAAACTCTGGGAGATCTCATTCGGGTGATTGACGGGATTGGAGATCCGGTGACTGTGCTCGTATGCATCCGTCTCGAATGACTGATGGATGTCGAAGGCCACTTGCAGATCCAGGATTTTCCATCGAGGCTCAACCTACCAAAAAATATGCTAAGCATTCATCTTTTGTGCATTTAGTAACCAGTGAACTCGTGCGTTTAGAAACGCCGGGAAAGACTCGAAAGCTGATATGTATATATATATGTTTGTTTGTTTTTTTTTTAAGCAATTCCTATAAATAGTTTCCAATTCGAAGCCAGTAAATCGTCATCATATGTGGGAATTTCGAGCGCGGATATTTAACAACTGGAATCTATCGATCTGATTTCTTCCCTAAGTGTTTCCTCCCTGAGACTCTCTGAATTCCGACAAAGAGTACAAAGTTAGATAGGGATTAATATCATCCCATTTGACAACATTTTCTTCGCTCTCTACCACACGTTCCCATAGCTCGGTTGGTGACTCACACGGTCGACGCCGACGTACTCCATGTAAGAGGCGAACCCCTCGTTGAGCCAGAGGTCATCCCACCATTTGGGGGTGACAAGGTTGCCAAACCACTGATGGGCCAGTTCGTGGCTTACCACAGTCGCCACAAACAACTTGTCCCAGGCTGATGACAGACTCCCATCGTACAGCATCGCCGTCTCCCTATGACACACCTCATGTCACAACACACCAAACGACTAAATTTTCTTCGCCATAATTCCTCAAGTTTTCGCAAAATCTACTCGACGTGAAAGAATGCAGGGAGAACAAAAGTTTTCATGCGATCAGGGATAATTGTCAGCGAGCGCTCGAATAGTTCAAATTAGCATGAATCTGCTTGCCGTTGCATTCATGTTGAGGAAACCTCAAAGGTCAAGATGAAGGACTCACCCCTCCGTTTACTAAGTCTATTGCTTTGATTCGCTTTTGAGCAGTCTCTATTTCTCTCAGCCTGTCCCGAAAAGAGCTCTTATCTGCACTTTTCTACGCAGGTCACCGATCCTCTTTCAGTGAATTTCTCTTTCAGTTCTTCTCAATTTATCCTAAGGACACAGCCGGGCAGAAATTCTTCAAGAATCACTCACACGTGCTTTGCTCCGGGGGAGAAAGCACTTCAAAGGGGGGTATGCAACTTCACTATATTTAGTTTCGAATATTGGATCCTCTGAAATTTCGGAAACTTTCCTCTCCCATGGCAAGTGCGATAGCGTTCGAGATGCAAAACAGACTCTGCCACGAGCACCTTCAGAGTTTAACCAGAAGTGCCTTAATAAATTATTCCATGACTTCACGTTTCATCATTGCATTGTATTAGGATACTTAATGAGCTACGTCTGATCCGGCATTGGAAATGCAACACCGTGAAACCTTCCGAGGAATTGAAAAATGTTGCACAGCGGCAGGAGGACTACCGATTACTCTTACGGACAAAAGGCGCCACTGGTAGTTTGAGGTCTACGATTACTTCACCATTATCTACAACCTAGATTATTGCATGCCTATTACATGCTATTATATATTATTATATGCAATGAAGTTTTGTAAGCATGAAATGACAGGGAAGGTAGAATACAAAAAAACTGACTGAAAACAGTTCATGGAGCAGAAGATACGTGCGAGTACATTTGTTTCGCTTCGTTTCGGAAAAGCATGAATCTCCATAAATCTCCATATTTGCATCTTTATTAGCTTCCAGACGCCAGAATCGGAGCCGAACTCACCGATAGGTGATGATTCCCCAGTTCTCCATGGCGCCGGCGCTGAAATCAGGCAGCGCGACCATGTCCAGCTTGGGCAGGGGAAAGGGAAGACCGAAGTACTGCTCGAAGTACTCGAGAATCCGAGGCCCCAGGTCCAGTGCATACTGGGTCTGCGCCAGCGAATCGGGCCGACTGTACACCCGGAACCGCGGCTCCACCCGATACTGCGACTCCACGTAGGCGAATGGCGACACGACGAACCCCACCAGGTACGTGGACATCGGGACGCTCTCCTCGAACGTCTCCCACACCCAGCCTTCCATCTCCGGCCTTCACAACCATCACTCATTCATTGGAAGCACTCGACTCAAATCTATGTATAAGTATGAAGGTAAATATACAAATTAGCCAATGGATAAAGGTGTTGGTTCGAGAGGTAAATGTTGACAGCACCGACCATACGGAATTGTTGCAATATGAATTGAGAAGTTTTGCTATTTCTTGTGCACAAACCCAGGGATGCCCAGTAATACGAATATCTCGGTTGCCCCCCCCCCCCTCAACAATCAGCATGATTAGACATTCATGCGTCAGAAACATTCTAAAGAATAGGTTAGGAGGAAGTATAACGCAAGTGTGTTTCCAGACGTGCGGCTTAATCAGAGAAAACCTAACGTCGCAGGCCAATGAGACAGGAAGAAGTCGACCACGCGCGCACGTTTTATCCGGATCTACAGATCCACGACTGCCACGTCACACACCGAGAACAAAAGTCTTCGCTGTCTCATGAATGTTTTAATTTTCTTTTGTTCTCCTCATACATGGAGATATTACTTGCCAGAACCCTGGTGCCGTAAATAAGCTCCTCATCTGTAATGCAAGCGGGCTCCCTCTCGGACACGTGTCTCCTGCGGCAGCGAAGACCGAGCGGAGCCACCTGGAATGCCACCCTATCCTCCAGAGGACGCAGTGCCCTTTCATTTAACCGGCTCGGATTCCTAAATCCCTTACATACGAACCGTGTATCGATGTCGTTCACTTCCTGCAGATCTAGGCAAGAACTAACTAGTACTTGATTTTTGTATATAAAAAATGGCAAGATCGATTGCAAAAACCCCAGGTTATTCCATGGAGATCGTCGCTAATGTTACAGATTTGCGAGTGAGTATTCATAAATTAGGCGCGTTTTCACGGTAGGCTTGCCCAAAGTTTGTGCCATAGAGATCAATCGTAATAGTTTCCTTACATTTTCACGAAAAAATATAGATGGCAGGTATGTCCCAAGCACGCGAAAAAAGGGGCATCTTGAAGAGAGTTCCGCCCTCCTCGACCCCTATCGGCTTCTTAGAATTTTTTTTGACCTAAGGGTCAAAGGGTCAAACCTGAGGGTTTTTTGACCGGTTCAGAGGCCTCCCTTCCACTCCCCTTGAAATAAAGGCCTCCGATAGGGTCTTGGAATCATCGCCATCCGCAAGATAGTCACCGAAGACCGACTTTCCCATGTCCTTTTAAGAAAGGTTAGCATGTCTATTCGGCGTTACGGCAGACGCGAAGGAATGCCTTGAAAGTGAAGAGAAAATGGCTTATACGTTCTGCCGCCTTTCTCGCCGAAACTTCGAAGACGGTGTTCCAAAACAGAGCGAAATCTCGACTCCAACAAAGATGTCAGGGCGACGGGACCTAAACACGGGTCCAAGTGACACCCGACTAACCAGAAGTACGAATACTAGGAGTGAACCGATAAAGACCGTCAGAATGAGGCAATTGAACTTCCCAGGACGAATTTCCTCAGCGCACACGCTGGGAGGCACGAAAAAGAATTTGACACCCAAGGGAAATTTGAAGAAAACGACGTCCTCGTCTCCTCGACCCCCATTTCATTTTCCTATCTAATGTACCAAACCAGCTTGACTCTGATTCAATTTGCCGGAAAGGGAAAAACCTCTCTCACGGATGAAATGAGCAGAGGGTCAGCATTCCCCCTCGAGGAATCATGAGAAGAATGAACCCAGGAAACGAATGAAGAGGAGTACCATCGCCAGAAGGCATTCAATGGCAAGAAATGCTACAATTGGAGGCTCTTATTTACTGTAAAAGAGAGGGGAAAAATGAGAAGATGACAAGCGAGAGAGCAGTAGGCCAGGGTGAGACGAGGGCAAAAAAGGAGAGAAAAAAATGGAGCTTTAAATGGAACTGTGGTACGGTCGCCTGTAGGGCTTTTCCTGCATTTCAGTCTACTCTCGCATGGTGGAATTCTTCACATGTTATCTTCTGTGTTGTACTGTACAGTCTGACCTGTCTCGGTCCGTAACCAAGCTTACCTGCAGGATGAACTTCAAGTTTCCAATTAAATTCATTCATAAGATCCATCTCTCCCACGGGAGGAAGAAGTAAAACGTATCTGCGGAAGACGACTTGGACGAGAAGGAAAATGAAAGCGGCAGGTCTTCTCATTGTGGCTTGGGTCAAATAATGAAGGTCATTCGTTCTCTGACTCGACAAGAAAATCAGAACCTGATGCTAATCGGTAACCATACTAATTGGTAGCGATTGGCCACCTGGTCTGTTGTGTCATCGTCAATGAAAGAAAAAAAAAAGTAGTTGCAATGCGATCGATGGATTGAAAGGGGAGGGGGGGGAGGAGGGAGGAAGAGGGGGGGAGGGGGGAGGAAGAGGGGGGGAGGGGGGAGGAAGAGGGGGGGAGGGATGGGTTTTCTTCAACTCACGCTCCACCTCTCACTCACCCAAGTCCCCAAAATCGGCAAGTTTGAGGGGCGGGGAAGCACTCTCCGACTTCTATGAAACTCTGAGGTCCTAGCTCTTTTCTCAGGGAGGGTACTGCGTCCTCTTGACAGCTAGATTTGTTTTATCTTTCCCTCTCCAGGGAACTCGAACAGGAATTCCCCATCGAAAATCTTCGTATTCACCTGGTCTATAATGGGAATGCTGAATGCCTGTCCGCAAGTGCGTCGCGGTTGGATGTCAAAATTTTCATGAAATCTGCCGAGTCATACCCCCCACATACCACCCATCGGAATTTCCCCCCTAAGCATACGAGCAGAGGCATGCGTATAATTGGTTAATTAATAAATGCATGACTTCCTGGCCACCAAAGGCAGCTCAAAATAAATCGTGCAGGCCATCAGAATTAAGAGAAATCTATACGAGCATTTTCTGCTTGTTGATGCCAGATGGTGGTGAAAAACCACGGGCAGCGAATGAATAACATCGGAAACTACGAAGGAAATGAATGGACTAACATGGGTTGTGTCTTCTCGAGCGGCATGTTGGCGATGACGGACAAGTTTCTGGGCCTGGCAAATGTCATCTTGAACTTGGCCTTGAAAGCCGGCTCGTCCAGACACGGAAAGGCACGACGGGCATCCGTCGCCTGGAACTGCGTCGCTGCCAACCACCTTCGAACGGCACGAATCCAGGAGAATTGCAAAATCACGAACTCGAGAAAATTTCAACTTCGGCGATGAGAACTTTTAGAGACGGACCGCGTCTGGTTGTCCTCGACGTATTTGCTGCGGTAGAACCCCGCCAACCCGTCGTTGATGCGCCCCGTGAAGTCCATGGACACCGTATAGTTCGTGCCGACTTTCAGCGGTTCGATCAAGTGGATGACGAAGAACTGTCGCTCCTCGTCGCGGGACACTTTGGACACGGCCACCGGCTTCCCGTTGCCGTCCGACACGTCCAGCGTGGTGTTGTCGATCTCGAGTTCCAACGCGTGCAGCGTGACGTTCTTGCCCGGCGAAACGCAGTGCAGGTGGACCTGCACCCGGCCGCGAGTCGTGAAATTCCCGGGCTGCACGAACGGGATGATTCGGACGTGGTAGGTCGAAGGACGCAGGTGCCCGGGAAGGCGATGATCCTCGTAATTCTTAACGGGCAAGAGCGAAGTTTCCGTACTGCTCCGTCCGGACGAACTGCCGTCCGGCGGCTGAAGATTCTGGGGCACGGCGAAATACACGATGACCGCCGTGAGAGCGATGAGAGCGACGACCACACCCAGGAGACACAGGGCCACGCCCCTCTTCACGTAGAACCCCGCAGACGCCGACTTGGACCCGGCCGTCTCCATGCTCAGTGGTTCCCTGCTCGAACTGCTCGATGCCTTCATTTCCTTCCCCTTCTCCACCTCCTCCGCGTCCTCGTGGCCGCCGTCATAGTCTCTGCTGCATGGGAGAAACGGGAGAGAAAATTCCCCGCCCGGTCATTAGCTCGCTCTTTTCCGGATTCTTCTCTCTCGTCGTTTCCGTTTCGGTCCCGGTGTTCGCATCACCGCACCCGCACGTCCGGAAGTGACCCCGGCGAAAGATCACGTCTCCATCCGATTCTCTAACCCGGGTGTTAGATCGTCATCGTGTAAGAACCTTTGACAGCATAACTGTCTCGAGAGTAATGTTCTTCGGTCGTACTCTCGCATTTTGTAAGAGAAATGGTTCACGAGTAACTGACAGTGCCAGGACATCATGATTGCGGATGGTTTCCCAGTGGCTTACGAGGCTCGAAGGCTCGAGGAACTCGAGGGCCCCATGCCCCGGATCCCCCTTGGCGACACCCCCTCCCCCCCTCCGGCGACATCCCCTCCCCCACTCCGGCGACATCCCCTCCCCCCCTCCGGTGATATCCCTGCCCCTCGTCTTCATTCGGCTTGATTCAGCCTTCTTAAAATCCTGCCTACGCCATTTGATTCTGAGGATCGGTGTATATCTCACCTAGTAATCCGATGATATGCGAGAGCGTCTGGCACGCGTTACATTGCCAGATGCAGAAATTCCTACATGTGCGTGGAACGTGGATAAATATACAACGCGTCAACTCAATCGTTGATCTGAAATTTACATTTCGATCCAGAAGCGAGCCCCAGGAAAATAAGGTAGAATACTTTCGCCATGGACAGGAATATTAATATCTTACGGGCCGTCGATCAGCCTCTCTTGTTTTAAATGCTGGAATACAAATGATATTTAAAAATTCAAATTCCAGACTTCAGTCGCTCCGGGAGATTCTATAAAAAGCCACCCGAAAGCACCCAGCAGCGGAAACGGTCGCCGAAAATAAACGCGTCCGGAACGTTAGCCCTAAGAGACGGTCGCCCATTTTTTTGACCTAATATACGAATCCCATGAATGAGGAAAACGTGCTTAGCCCACAAGCGACATTCCCGGTCGAAAAAAAAAAGAGACACACACAAAAGGGTAACACACTTCACAACTGAATACGCGTTCCACTGGGGCTCGGGAACGTGAAATGCACACAAATGCTCGGATGACATGGCAGGGTGGATGAGATAAAGTAAAAAAATATGGTCGAGAAGGCACGGGGATTGTTGCTTATTCATGGAGCTGGATGGAACTAAAAAAAAAAAAAAAAAATTGGAATGTCTCTGCCCTGGGCGAGGTGAATGCAATTTCGCTCTTCTGTGATGACCAATTCATCACAATCCTTATCGCTTCTGTAGGTACGAGCGAGTTAAAAAAAAAAAGCCGAAAAATCCGGAATGTCTCTCAGGAAGTGCTTCGACAAAGGTCCTCGCAGGCCTTGATTATGGTTCATTATGCGGTTACGCCTGTATTGAAACCATTGAAATTCGCGAGGGGCTTCCGGTATGGAAGGCATGCGATGCTTCCGGCCATCAACTTCGGTTTTTTTTTCCGACACTAATTTTTTAAAAGAGGAGCAGTAATTACGCCCATTAAGAGCACGACCTCTCTCATCCTCGTTTCTTCGAGGGATTCTTCCCGTGAGAGAGCGATCCGGTCGGCATGCATGGAAGTGTGCCGTTCGGAGGAACCGGTTCCGCGTTTTCGTGATGGGACGCCGCGCCGGATTGCGGCTGGGCTGAGACGTTCCGGATCCGGATCCGGTGCGAGCATCATCTGTGTCGTCTTTTGTTCGTACTCTACATTTACCGACTTGTTTCGGTTCTTTTCCTTTTTACCTGGATTTTACGTGTCGTCGCATTCGTTTTTCCGTCCGACCGACTCCGTGTTTCCACTCGATTCTCCCACGATCCTCGATCGACCTCGGGGCCACCGAAGGAAACAGACCCCCACTTCTTCACCCAGAGGAAATGGATCCCCGTAACGGTCCCCGTTAACCTCTTTTCCGCAATTAGGGCCGATACCACCCGAGGGGACGTCGCCCCTCTCATTTGCCCCTTGCTTTTGCCCCTTGCACTTGCCCCCCGCACTTGCCCCCCGCTCCGGTGCAAATTCAAAAAATCCCAAAGCGTGGGTTTTCCGTCCCGCCGTCATTCCCAGAGCTGCGGGTGAATCCGCATCGACTTCCGTGCCCGGTCGTGCAAATGCAATCGATCCCGACGAATGCCGCGTCAGGTTCGAGCCGACGAGCAGATAGTCACGTTTCTGGCATCGACATTTTTTCACACTCTTTTCATGCGAAACTTTCCATCTGCAATTCAAATGCATCCTTGAAATTCTCGCCATTGACTTTTCCGACTCCGCACGAAAGCAACATTCCGATCTCGCTTCTCGACCGAATCGTCGGGGATTCTCCCGATCCGCCTGGTGGATTCAGTAATTTCTCTCGCGTTCCCGAGCGATCCAGGATCTAATCTAGGATCAGAAATGCAACCACCTGGACCTCCTTTCCCGGTACTTCCCTTCCAAAAACCAATCGGCTTCGATGGCAGAGAGTACCTAAATACTGTGCCAAAACGAAATATAAGATGGGCTAGAGCATCAAAATATTTATAAACCGTATGCAGATTCGATAATTTGCAATCTCGCAGCTCAGATGCAATTGCACCACGGTGTCGATTTTCGACGAGGGGCATGATTGTTTAATGCATGGAATATAATGTATATTTTCTTGTTAAAATGGAATGATTGAATGCAGACATCCTCAATTACCTGCGACGTAAATCAAATCCCTCGTGTTAATTGCCGGGTATGGCTACTGATTAAGAGATTACGTACCCTCGGGCACCATGGTTAGCGCGCCGTAATTGAATTCCTTATCAGAGAAGGAACATCAGTCGCTTTTGCGACGGTGAACCGATTCGACCCTTTTCTGGAAGGGGGATTTTTTTTTTGGAAACGGACGTGCGAGTCCGGTTTTTCCGCGGGTTTGGTCTGAAAGTCGTTTGTAGTTGTGCAGATGATCGAGCCTCGCAAGGGATGAATTGGTTTAAAGCAATAAATATGACGGAAGACAGCGTGGGGCCAAGAAGATGGGTCTAAAAATTCACATCACATTTTTATTTTGCAATTTAAGTGAAATTTTTACGGGAACTTCTAATGAAAACTTGAGAGATGAACAAATAAATATAATTCACGAATTTCCGATCTCAGTCGAGGTCCTCGTTTCAGCTCCCGGGGTTTAGATCGTTTTGCACTTCTTGCAGACACCGCGAACGTCGCTGTGTTCGCTGCAGACATTCTTTTCTACAGCAATCGCAGATCTGACGCTCGTTAAAATAGGTGAGGAAATGAAGCTAAAATTGTTTGAAATTCAAAACTGTTCACAAATACATGAATCTTCCATTTACCGTCTTCAAGCAGGTAGTAAGAACGACACACGAAATTCAACGATACATCTCCGAAGGCGTAACCGCGACAGAGAAAGACGCAGCCCGACGTACTCACCTTGCCCTGGTCCAGGATCGGGAAACGAACATGGTGGACGAGGCACGCTGCGGTCGTTCGTTCGTCACAACCCCTTCTCGCCCTCGCCGCTCGGCCTCGCACGGAGCCCTTCACACACGCTCTTTGGGCATCCCCGTTCGTTCGTCGTCGCGTGGATGGGATCGTGACCGCGAACTTCCCGAGCGTCCCATCCGCTCCACGGCTGTGACGAGGGAGGCCGGACGTCCACGGCGTGCCTTGTCCGAAGTCGGCTTCCTTATCGCACGACGCATTAAACTTATATCATAGGAAATGCATGCACGCAACCTTTCCCCTTTTTTTTTTTGCAAGCAAACAGGCATTACTTTCGGTACGCCCTTCATAGATACATTTTCCGGCAATTGTGAAGGTATAAATCGGGGGGGGGGGGGGGGGGGGGGGANNGGGTGGGGGGGGGGCAAAGTGCAGACCGCGAAGATATTTGGGAAAGGAAAAAAAAAATTAAATGTTGGAGATTAGAGAAACGCAAAAGGAAAAAATAGCGGAACATACGGAGAAGCACGTGCTCTCCTACGGACGCAGAGACAAGCAGAGAAACTCAGGAAAGACATGAAGGCGAAACGAAGGCAGAATCTCGGAAGAAGTTCCAAAAGGCGACGACGAGAGAAAGCTGCTGCCTAGGAGGCTCGCCGACCTTCATCGAACCGATTGAACATTTTTTTCCCCAACAAACATCGAGACGAGAGAAGTTTCCTGACCATTCCGCATTTCCTGAAAAATTCCATCTTATTCATCAGAAGCTGCGGAGCAGGGTGATTTAAATCACCCTGTGATTTAAAAAACTTATTTAAAACATCTGACACCTTAATGCGAGACCGAAGGACGAACCCGGAAGCGCAAATGAACCACTCACCTGGAAAAAGCGACCATTGAGCACTTTTATCTTGAACAACGTGACGTAACCCGAGCGCACGATTGCGCAAACCCAGCGTGCAAATTTTCCCCCTATTCGCTCGACCTTTAATCTTCGTGATTTCTCCTCGGGGGGGGGGGGCAACAAGGACGATCCTTGAACATCGGAAGAAATTTGACACGAAAATGGAAAAATTTCCCCAACATTTCAGGGAACACTTCGCTCGCTGTAATTATTTACTTATTATTATTTACTTATTATTATTTACAACGAAGACTTTCAGTTGCTGAACTTGGTTTCGTCGGAGCTGAAAGAATTGGACGACACGAAAAATGTCGCCGCATCGTCGAATGACGCGACATCTTGCCACACCAAGCAACAACACGACACAATCAGGTAAACAAGGTAAACAAAAACGAAAACAGGAAAAATTCCTACACATTTTTTCGTGCACTTCGTGAACCTCCGGCGATCCAGGATCCCCAGTCAAAACAATAAAAGAAAAAAGAAAAATTTGAACGATTTGAATTCCGTGGAATGAAACGACTGACCTGGAGGACGAAAACGTGCCAGTAGGCCATGTGTCTGCCAGTTTTTCGACCGATTCGCTCTTTTGAAAGGTTAACGAGAGAAAAAAGCGGACCGCGAGTGTCGGCGCACCGATTCCTGTGGCGTCTGCGATGGAATCGACTGCCGATGAAACGAAAAAGACGGGATTTTGTTTTTTTCCCCGCATCCTGGCAGGCTCCGTGGCGGGGCATGCGTTCCTCTGCGATCGCATGAGGTCGGGGTTTAAAATGTGTCTGTGCGAGATCGTTTTCGCGGGATCGGGGGGACCAGATGCGAGAGAGCGCATCTGGCAAGCATCGCATCTCGATACGAAACATCGAAATGCATTCTCATTTATCACCTCTTTCGATAGAGACGTACCGAGCCGTCCGTTCGCGAATTTCGACCGAAAAAGCCTCGTCGATCGGATGGACGCGAGAAAGAAGGAAGCGAAAATAAGATTGCGAAAGTCGGAATCCTCGATCGCTTACCGAACGGAACCAGTCGACACGAATGCGGGATGACAGCGTCGACCTGAATTAGACGCTCAGATGGAGAGGGACAGATAAAACCGATGAGAGATGTCGACGTCACGAGAGCTGACCTCCGACTGACCCGGACTCTCCGCCGCACAGCCGAAGAACCGCCGCCGTCGGAGGGACTCGGAGGGGTGGGCATGCCGTGGTCGGCGCGAATCTTCGCAGCCTCGTTTGCGAGAGGATCTTCGTGTGGGGTTCGCTCCGGTTTCGTCCGCGATTTTCCTCGGGGGAAGAGACGGAAGGGAAGGACTTCGAATCGTGTCGTTCGTTTCGTCGTTGGTCGATCGGAAATTCTTTTCATGCGTTCCCGTTCTTTCGAAACGCTTACTGCTGGCGACATCTCGATGAGATGCAAGCGATTTTCGATGCAATCTTCTATTGCGAACGCGTGAGAAATACTTTTGCATATTTAAGGGAGGAACTCCCGAGTACCTGTCTTGCATTTTGAATATTCTTTTCCTCGTGATTCAAAAACTTAAAAGACTGAAACTTTAAAGACCTGAATTTCTCATGAATCGCTTTTCGGAAGAACAGCATGGAAATGCAACATTTTCCTTTCTAAGTCCTAGTCTGCCTTTGATTAATCAGTGCTTGCAAAATTCATCCTCCGCATAACGTTGTAATCGAAACATTATGATGATTTAAGCCATTTCATGAATACGGGGAGGAGATTCGCGACCGTGGAAAATTGTTAACGGCATCCCCGCCGCAAGGACCGTCGTGACCGGCATGGGCATTTGAGGCCCGAATGAGTTCCAACTTAGGCCCCCCACCCCTCCCCCCCCTCCCTCCCCCCCCCCCCCCCTTCCCCCCCTCCTCATCCACTGATTTATGGAAGCGTGCGAAGAGCCTAAGGAGCAACGACCCCGTGCATACCGTAAGTTACGAAATCGTTTCCGATGGAAACTGACACCATTCCCTTCGGCTCATTCGGCTCATTCGGCCCATTCGGCCCATTCGATCATGCTCGATGGGCATCGATCACTTTTTATCCGAGTACTTTGAAAAATGAGGGACGCTTAATTCCCCGAAACATTTTCAATACATCACCGAGATGAGTTGAACCTTAACCCAGCACGCAATTTTCCATCGGTGAAATGCCCTTTACGTGCTGTCAATTATTCACGCCGTTCAGTTCCAGCTCAAATTAGTTCGTCTAAGAAATATTTAATGTAAAGATGGCGCCTGTGTATATCCTCAGCTGTATGCACAGTAGCGCCAACTTTCCATTCGAGTTCTTTTTTTTTTCCTTGGATTAAAGCCGAAACCTAAGCCAATCCGATCCCGCAATGGCCTTCTATGGGAATCCGTTTGATGATCTTATTATTATGAAACGCCCATTATGGAACCAGATCAGTTGAAAGCTAAATGGATCTGGCGCATGTCGCCCCTGAAACCGATCAAGTATTTCGAGATCTCAATCGACAAGGACGAATTTCATATGAGGATGTCTCAATACGTAAAGAAACTTTATTTAAATCTGCCCATAGTTTTTTATTTGCTAAGTTCGATTATTTTCCAGGAATTTCAATTAGTAGCAGTGCATTTTGCATGTTAAACGAATCACAGCCGTTCGGCATCGAGCAGCACGATCCAAAGATGGCGCCACGCGCAGTAAATCGTTTTTGTGCTCGAAAGGAGAGCACACAACTGCACTAGTGAGATAGAAGAATGTCACACACAGCCTAGTTAACGACTGAAGCACTGACCGAAATACCGAAATACGATTTCTTACACTAATACAAATACTCTTGGATAGAGAACGTGTATTGGCAGTATGATGCGGATTGACAAAGGATAAAAAATGCAAAAGCACACCTTAGGGGTTCAAAATGACCTCATTTCGGTCATCCGAAGGTTAAGGAGGCATTACGAGGCAAGCGCTTTAATGGTAATGAAGCTGTGAGAGAAATCCGTCCTATCGGGCTGCATCAACCAGAAAAGTTCTGCGCTGCAGGCATACGTAATCTCGAAGGGAGATGGGACAAATGCATTTCTGTGAAGGGGATTGTGTCGAAAAGTATGTGTAATATCATGACCCAGGAATAAATATTAAAACCATTACGGTACTTTCTGTCATGTTGAAGCACCCTCGTACTTCGCATACGGAGTGATTCTCCGGAGCCCGCGGGTAGGCGTTGGGGTTGACTGGAGGTCGACGCGGGCCCGGAAGATTGGAGGTCGGCGCGGGCCCAGTTGGAACCTATGCCCAATGCGCATCATGGCGTCGCTGTAGCCAGTGGACTGTGTACACGTGGTCTATCTCGATGGGCTTCCCAGGCCTGCTGTTCTTTATCACATCGGAAAGTTGCACCTTGTCTCATGAACATTTTGGACTCGTGCATGCTTCAAGAGATCCTTCCAAGTCGCAAAATGAAGCTGTCGGTCGAATGGAGAATATGAGGTTGCATCATGGGTGTTGGAAAAGTTCAAACGTGATATTCTCTGGACTTCAGGCCTTTAGCAAATTTACTCAGGCCTAAATATTAAATCGATTCCATCAGAAATAAATGGTTCGGTTGTCCCTTCGCTTCACTCTTTTTGTCTTTCTCGCTGTATGGGTTCTGGTAGTCATCTTCATCATCAAAGATCGATTGGACTTGTCTGACACGCTATCTCCACTAGAGGTTGGCCCCAAACCCCTTCTCGACTTCTCATTTTTGGCTAGTTTCGCTTGAAAGTGAGGCGTTAAAGTTCTCTGTGTGATTTTATGCTGATGTTTTGTGAATATGACCAGCTGCCGTCCTTGACCGAACTGCAACATATATCAAAGAGATTGGAGATTTTGGAAGCAAACTTGGAGAAGAAGGCTGCTGAGTCTGAGCAACTCTTGCAAGCAATACAGTCTCTGAAGAAGGAAGCCAGTGAGTAAAGGGCTTGTCCACATCTTGAATCCATAATTTTTGGATTGAGTTTGTACCCACCAAGACCCTGACTCCATATCTATGGAGCCTTTCACAATTGTGTTTTGAATCTCCTTGGCTTATGACCAGGACCAGTTCAAATCTTACCATTCTTGAGCTTGTACAGGGTGTCCAAAAAGTAGTGTTGGGATTTGTCTGTTTAATAACTTCTGACATATTGGCTATGTTATTTTTCTCTTTTTTTGTCAGTTGTAGAATGGACCTTGTAGTTTCATGATGAATTGTCGACAGTCAAGTAACTTTTAGTAGCAATTGTGGAACTTTACTTTGTAACAGACACTCCATTTTGAAGCTCAATGCATCTACCATTGACAGTTTGGTGTTCATTCAGCACCTTCTGAGCATGTTATTTATTGGTGTGTTCCACATTTTTGTGCCAATGGTGGTGTTGCTGACCAACCTTGATCTGGAAGACCTCACAGCAGCCAAAGTTTGTAACATGTGGAGACTGTTTGCTAGACAATCCCAGGAAATCCGAGTATCATGTATCTCAGGAGTTAGGAATGCCCAAAACATCACTGCATTTCATGTTGGATGAATTATGCTTCTACCCAAATAAATTTCAGCTGGTGCAAGAAGGATGGGATTTCTCTCCTCAATGCACTGATTTCCTGGGACTTTCTAGAATTACATAGTGAACAATTCATTATAAAACTCCCAGGTCCACTCTACAGCATACTAACAATTAAAAAAATATTACCAATATGTCAGAAGTTATTCTATTGACAAATCCCTGTACTATTTTTGGGCACCCTGTGTAAGGCATGATAAGGATTATGATTTCATTTATTCCTTTCTTACTACACTTGGGACCAAATGGGATGAGAAATGAAACTTTTGCTTGTAAAGAATTCAATTTTGTTTTGACATACCAGCTCGTTTTATCAAGAATATTGCAGTTCCTGACAGTAGACAGTAGGGTCAAAACAAGGTATATTAATGAGAAATGAAAGTGTGAGACAAGAAACTTAGGTTTATCAAGGCAGAAAGATAGGGAAGAGAAATGGGGCAGGAAGGGGGAAATACTAACTAGCTAGCCAGAGCTGCTATAAACAGAGTTGAAAGCCTCATGTCTGCAGTTGGCATAAATTTCCTTGTCATTCCTATGCCTCACTATCTGCCAATATTCTTTGTGATTTTGATGTCATTCTTAAAACTTCACAAATGTTGCAATGATTGCTTCAAGATGCCATAGCAGAATGCACTGGGCTCCTTTTCACTGAGGGCCTACAAGCTCCAGTTGACTGGTAGATATTCAAAAGTATTCAGTGATACTTGAACACAGAACATCATTTTACCCCAGCATAATAGCACCCTGACAGCTGCAGAAGTCCCATCTTTTTTCTACCTTTATGCCTCTTTTGCATTCTATATTTCATACTTGACGTTTGTATTCTTTTCTATATGATCCATCCAAAAAGCACAATCAATGTCAACCATTCATCAACCCTGCAGGGTAGAAAGCATGTCACCGGGAACATCACTTGAAATAGTGTTTTCTCCATTCTGCATTGCCCACAGAGGGTACAAATTCAACCTGAAAGTAGTGTAGACCTAGTGGGGCACATCACACTCAGGTCAAGCACAAGGCAGCATGAGTTTGATACATCATGGAGTCAACCTGCTGATTTACAGGATTAACTTACTCTTGGAAACATTGGTTACAATATACATGTATCATGATTACTGTTCCTAGGTTTGTAATATGTAATTAGGTAGTACTCATACCAAATTCAATTAAATAACATGCATGCTTTGAATCTAACCCATTAGATGAATCCAAGAAGAAGCAAGACAGAGGCACTGCTGGTAAGTTGTAAGCCTTTTGATTTCATTGGGTCAGATTGAAGAGAGTGGTCATTGTTAGGAAATGTCTCCCTGATAATTTCATCAGCCCTACAAGTGATTCATTGACTGCTTTTCCATGGAATATTATAGCAAATGATCCCTCATTTTTTCAGAGCGAGGAGAGACCTCTAAAGGGAAAGGCAGCAACACAACAGTCATCACAAAAGTGATTACACTTGATTTCATCTCTGATACTGACAAAAGCCCATGCTAGATTAATGCATTGAGTAATACAATTGTGCTTTTCTTGTGCAGTATCCCCCAATTCCTATTCTAGTGATAGCCTGCAATCGAGTCTCTGTTTCCAAGTGCCTTGATGGTCTGTTCAAGTCTCGTCCATCAGCTGAACAGTTCCCAATTATAGTCAGCCAGGATTGTATTCATCCTGAGACAACTGCTGTCATCAAGGGTTATGGTGACCGAATTACCTTCATCCAGGTCTGCTTCACCCTTGCCTCAGAATCAAACTACCTAAACCTTAGTCATTAATTAGTATTTGACTGCCCCTGTAGCAACCAGACCAGAGTGTCATCGCAGTACCTCCAGCCCACAAGAAGTACAAGGGATATTACGCTATAGCTAGGCATTATGGTTGGGCACTCAATCAAACCTTTCTGCATTTCAATCACTCTTCTGTCATCATTGTTGAAGGTCAGTTCAATCAATTTTATTGCCTTTAATATGTATGTATCACTTAAATGACCAAAAGATGTTTCTTTCAGATGACTTGGAGGTGTCAGTGGATTTCTTTGAATACTTTTTGGCCCTGTATCCATTGCTTAGAGATGATCCAACCCTCTACTGCATTTCGGCCTGGAATGACAATGGAAAGAGATCTGTGATAGATGAATCCTCTCCTGATCTCCTTTATCGGACTGAATTTTTTCCTGGCCTTGGCTGGATGCTCACTCGCTCATTATGGATGGAACTCATGACCAAATGGCCAACGAGGTACTAAACGCCTCAAGAATCCTCAGCAGTTTTTCAGACTCTTTGTTGCCTTGGTGTTAGTTCTTAACCTTCTTGGTTCTTAAGTTACCTGGGAAAATAATTTCCTACCTCTTGTATCTTGCTTTGTCTGAGAGAGATGGTGGGATAAATATTTCCGACCAGAGTAAAAGAGTCACACACATGCCCTTGAATTGTTATTGCATAGATGTGATGTTAGAACATTGTCTTCACAACTTTTACACTATGTTTTTTTTAATGAACTGCCAGTCTTTTGCCCTACAAAGGGTTGTTCACATTTTTTAGTTTCTGGGACGACTGGATCCGCATGCCAGAGCAGAGACAAGGTCGTGCTTGCATTCGACCCGAGATATCCCGGACCAGCACTTTTGGGAAGAAAGGAGTCAGCTTGTAAGATTTTATTTCTCCCTTTTGCAATTTTTGCAACATCTGCATGATCTCTCAATGTTTACTTCCTGATCCTGAGATGGTTTTCTTCCTTCATTTGTAGGGGTCAGTTCTTTGAGAAGCACTTGAAATTCATTGTCCTCAACTCGCAGTTTGTCCCCTTTACACAGAGAGACCTGACATACTTGACAAAAGTGAGTTTAAGACCAAGTTTTTGTTTTTGTATTGCTTAAATGAGATGTCATCATATATTTTTATCCTTTGCTCTTAACATCTGATCAGTGAGAGTATAGTGACCTGATTAGTTTAGAAAGAATGAAAGAAATTTTTGGCATTCTTAAAAATTGCTAGGGGGAAGGTCTCATATGATAATATTCACTTTACTCTTTTGTGCCAAAATTCAAGAAAAAAATTTCTGGCTTAATGTATGAAGTGGAGGATATTTGCTGAATTTTCAGGAAGTTTTTGAAACAAAAATGTCACTGAAGCCAAGAGAGAACAGTGAAAATCATACTGTTGGCAAAATTTTAAAAAAGGTTTTAAAATCACTGAATACTTTGCTTGCACCTAACTGGCTAGGTCTTATTTTAGTTTGAAAGAGTATAGGTATACTTGTAGGATCAGGGGATTGGTCATCTCTGTATCACAATGTCTTCATATTGTGAGTTCTCTTCATCAAAATTATGTGTAGCCCTAATTCAAGATTTTGATGGCTTTCTTATAGGACAAGTATGATGAGCTGTTTGTGAAGCTTGTTTACCAGACCCAAGTTGTAACACAGTATGACCTCCTTTTGGACAAGGTTACCTTCCCAGGGAGTGTCAGAATCACATACAACTCACGGACTAGCTTCCGCACACTTGCGCATACCTTCAAGCTCATGGATGACTTCAAGGTGAGTTTTAAAAGACATCTGCTAGTTTAAAAGAAAGTTATGAAATTTCCTCACCTGATGCATTTAGTTGTTTTTTTCTTTATTGATGAAACACTTTTTGATCAATTGCTTTAAAATTATATTTTTTAATCAAGGGAGATGAAGATTCCCAATAGAATCTAAGTTCATTCAGAATTTCTCTTTTCAACATGACTCAAAAAAAGAGCATCATATGCAAGCAAGACTTGGTTAGATACCAAGGGCCAATTGCATGAACAATGTTTTCCTGTTGTTTTTCAAAAGTCATCAGTTAACTGATGTCTAAGGCCAAAAATGGATTGCATGAATGCTATCTTCCTTTAATCATTGTCTAACTATTGGCTATCAGAAACTGAAAGAGGTGTTATTTTCAGACAAGGGATAGGGCATGTATTGCCAATATTTACGCCAGTGCTCGTGTACTATCTTCATCAGTATAGCACTGCAGTGTACTGGTGAAGCACAATGGATCATCTTTAAGGAGCACTCGATATCAGCGATGTGCTTTCATAGTCACATGGGACCAATAAACATCGGTTCTAAGCTTAATCCCTTTGGAAAATATGTCGATGAGATACCAATTTGGAAAGGGATCAGTGAATGATGTCAACCTGCTTTGCACTGAACTTTAAAGGAACAAAAAAAGCAGAAGGGATCCCTTAACTTTACATCAACAGAGAAGAACTATCATGATTCAGGTGCAATGAATCATGATTTATTCATGTACCCATCCCCTGAGTAATTAATTAGTATGACCTGAAATTAAAGAGAGTGTCATGAAAGCCTTTCAATTTGCATGTTCTGCTGACTCTTTGATTTTATGTGGCATCAATTCTTAAAAATGGAATGGCATATGCTACTGCTCAGGAAAAATGGAGTAGTTGCTCAAAGACAATTATTTGAAATTGCCAGATTTCCACAAATGATTGGTGCTATTTACGACTGTTGTATTTGAATAGAATACCCAGCCAACTGTTATCAGTCACGAAGGTTTTTATTTCGTCAATGTTCAAACAGTGCGCAATGAGGAAGGTATTTTTTTTTTTACTGATGTCACTATGTGACCAGCATCCATATACGATTCTTGGATATCCTCATTTTGCAATCATGCATCAATTATACTATTTTTCACATTTCCGACTTCTGTGTGTGCAAAACCATACTCTGATGTCACCCTGATGTACTGAAATACAGAGTAGGGTCAGTAAAGAACTCAACAGTTTCCAGGCATGATTATTCTTGTGCAAGGAGAGCGCATCGTGCCTCTCTCTATTATGAGATTCTCATGTAGAAGCTCTGTGAGATGTACTTCATTGTCAGAGAAAAGATTCTCCTTTTTAACTCAATTCATGCGTTTTTTGCATAGTCTGAAGTGTACTATACAACAACAAAGAAGTCAGAATATGCTATATTTACCATGAGGGGCACTTAGCCATCGTTTAACCATTGGCTATGAAAACAGTTTCAGGATTGTTCACACAATGGAAAGTAGACAACAGTCAACCGATATTTTCATAGGTAATTTTTAAACAATGGCTATCGATAATCAATGTAAATTGCAATTCATGCAATTGGCCCTAAGTGGCCAAAGAAGATCCAGAACTGGGAAATGGAATATGAAGTTTAAAAAAAAATCAACATTTGTGGAAAATCCTAGGATAAATGTTAGCCCAGTATTCTAAAAATGGGAATCACTGTGATTAGCTTGTCAGCTTGTAGTTGTAGGAAGTGCAGTAACATTTATTGAAGTGGCCTGGGCTCCGCTGTGCATGTTGACATATGTTGTGTTCCATAGTAGTCCATTGGGTTGTCGTCCTCATCCCCCCCCCCTCTCCTGTGAATGATGCACATAGATTTTCTAAATACTACAAGAAAGGGGAATATTATACCATAGTTTTGGTATCTTTTCATATTGACTAACAAAATGGCAGGTGCCCTAAGTAATAGTGAATGATAATGGATCAAAACATTGAGCTATGAGTGCAGCTTGGAAAACTGCTGAAGATGTAGGTTATAGGTGTAACCTTTATGAAGAAAAAGGGAATTGTATGGGAATTGAACAGAATTGAAAATTTGGTGAAATGGAATAGGAACAAGTGATGTTGATACTCAGTTTGAAGATAGCAGGTTCCTGAAGCTGTCATGATGAGAGTCCAAAGTATAATCGCCATGAGTTCTGATTGCCAGAAGAGGAATCAAAGCCTCACAAAATAAATCAACATGAGGAGGGGAACTTGCCCAATCACTATGTTGGTATGCCTGTGGGAACAATTATGAAGGATCAATTGGAAATCACCCTTTGGCTGCCAAGCCCAAGCATACTTGTTTTCAAACTTTGAACCCCCTGACACCAGGCCTGAATACATTCATGTAGGTTGAAAGTGGTATCTTGGTGGTATTTTTGGGAATAAAATGAATTCCATTTATGACCCTTAAGAGACACATTATTCTCAAGAGACTGAGGCAGCATGAAAAATCCAGCATGAGGCATGTGCTATGCTCTCTAAAACTTGGTGGTCAAAGGGTTAATGGCATTCTCTAATCTGTGGGTAATTTTATTTTATGATTGTTATGGATCTTTCAGGTGCATGTTAATCCTTTGTTTTAAAATTCCTATTGGATCTCTTGCTTTTTGTAATTTCCACTACCCTATAGCTACAATAAACAAGATTCCCATTATACAAATTATGTGTCAATATATGTCTTCATTGGAATAGATTCCTAGAGCTTGAATTTATGGAAATAGATGTAAGAGTCTTAGTATATCAAATATTGGCCAAAATTCTATACAAGTTGTCAAAAGTCTGGTTTCATAGGGAACATATGTATTTACAAGGTGTTCAAATTGTATGCCCTTGAAGCAGGAACAGAACAGTCTACATGATGGAGGAAGCTTTCCTTCACGTGCTGGAGGGTGTCAGGTGTGACTGTTCTACATTCATTATACACATTGTGTTATCTGGAAAATATTGAACAAAACATGGTCAACCAGACTTCTGACTCCCCCTGTATTGTTGCATCTCTACTAGATTGCTTATAATTTTTTTCAGTCCACATTTTCTTACAACTATGTACATGAATTACTGTTTCATATCCATATTTAAAGGAGGTACAGATTCATGATTTTGAAGAAAGTGACTTTTAATATTTTCTTGCAGTCTGGGGTCCCCCGAACAGCATATCGAGGGGTGGTGTCTTTCTTCTACAAGGGTCGTAGGGTGTACCTTTCTCCGCCATCTTCCTGGAATGGTTATGAGAGCATTCCTGAAAAGTGATCTCCTTTGGGCCTATAAAGATGACTTGTTTTAATTCCTGCATCTTCTATCTCCTATTACCCAAGTATCTTTTAAGGTGGAAGTGCTTGTAAATGGAGACCATTTCCTGTGAAACTGTGATAAAAAATGCATGCAGATGTGTTGATTGCTGCTTTGGTTAAAATTAGACTGATGCCAAAGGCCAAGCATCAAAACCAAGAGGTATTATCCCAGGATGTCATGGGCTTTGTTGTTCTAATATATGTTCACTTGTTTGAAAGTTATTGCACAGGGACAAGTGCATTTCCTTGGAGGTGCTCTCTTTCATTCCCTTCTGCATCTGATGATCTTTTGTGTTCTTTTGCATTGGACTTGCCTTTTGAGAGAAACCTGATCATTATTCACATGACATGCTGGCAAGATGCAGGTGCATTTCGATATAATTCATGCAATAATCTTGAATGTTCCTTGTTTCATTCACCCCTTCAAAACAATTCTGTAGAAATGGGCTTTTACTTCCAACTTTTATTCTCAAAAATTTTTTGAAGGTGCAGATATAAGCTTAGTTATCAACGGAGCTCAATGAGTTCCACCCCAGTGCTTCTCCACTCCAGTCACAGTCAGGACATCAGTAGCCACTAGATGAAAGAAAAAGAACTTATGAAATCTAGATCTTTAGCAAATTGGTAACTACTATTCAAGTTATAAAAAATAAACAAACCTCAAAACTAGCCAAAACAAGAAAACCATTGAAAACTTACTGAATGTGATATCCAAGATCCCAATTCACATCCACCTCAAATGGCCCTTCAATCTTGGCTCCATCTTTTGTGATAACCCCAAGGTGATACTGTCACAAATACCAAGAACAAATTAGCACTTTTTATTTATCAATGTCACAACTGCACAACTTAAACATACCTTATGAAAGGCTTGACAGTCCCTGTAGAATAGAAGTCGCATGGCATCCCCAATTGCAGCCCTAGCTTCCTGTTGATTCATTTTGGGTTTCTTCTCAACTGCATCTCGAAGAAGTGGAAGGGCCAGGTAACCACCAAGACCTGACACAACTTGAGGAGCCTCAAAAGATGTCCCTATCTTGTCAACATAGCCCAAATATCTGCAAGGAGTAAAAAGTAATTTCAAAAATTCATTCCTTTAACCTCCCTTAGATTAAATCAGCAGCAGGTAAAACTGACGGGACTCCATCTTGCAATCCAGCTACGACATAAATGTTCCATAGGGGGTTGAACTTCGACCGTCTGTTGTACATGACCCTTGTCAGCCAGCAGTGAAGATTTTTTGGTTTTATACCAAAGCCATCATCTTGACAAGCTTCATCAATCCTGAAAATATATAATAATCAGTTTTCTAATTGAGCAGTAAAAAACTCTTTATGCATACAATAAAGACACCTTACACTTTTTGCTCAATGATGTCCCTGAGATATTGGTAGTCAGCATAATCCCCACTGGCTCCAATAATTGTAGAATCATTGACACGAAGAAGTCGCTCAATGTTGGGAAACCTGGCCAGAGAACCGTAGGACCCCAATGTGTCTGCAGCCATCATCACGCCTCCATCGAACTTCAAAGCCACAACTGATGTACCAGTTGTGATAGGATTCCTAGGGGTAAGAAAAAAAATGTGGAGACCATAGATAGACCTGGATTCTGCTTTGCCTACCAATGTTACACCTGCCATTGGGCTATGTATAGTCATGTACCTATACGGAGTTATACATTACATTCAACAGGTTAGCCTTCATCAATTCTCACCAACTGCACACAAAAATTCACCTCTGTAAGGCCTAGACCTAAAAATAAGATAGTCAAGCAGTGACTTCACATCACCCAGTTTAGCTAGTTTCAGTTAATTTAAAATTAAATAAAACAAGACTAACAGTACATGGAATTAGCTACTTGAAGTCAATTCTCAGATTTCTTATGTCCAGTTAATTTAGAGTCAATAAACATCTGAAACTGCAGTTTATCCTTAGTTCAGAGATTCCTTAACTGAAGACAAACTTAAAGTGGACTAGAATAAAATTAAGACTGAAACTATAACTAAACTGAAGTAAATAAAACCTCCAAAGTCTTAACGATGGACATCATCATCATTTCTATTCCCCGATCAGGCAATGCCTGTAGAGTCGTCATTCCACTGAGTCATACCATTAGTGGAGAATAAATATTAGCGGTCAATATGGACAAAGGAATAACAGTAAGGTTGGTCAGCACACAGCAAGATACATACAACATAACTTGTACAATAGGTTGAGGTTTAGGTAGGAAGGGATTCGAAAAAGTCGAAGTGTTCACTAACGGCATGATATTGATTCAGAATTAGGATTGACACCTACAATGGGCAAGGGTCTCAAGAAACAGCTATATTCAAAACGCTCGGAAAAAAAGGAAGATAGGGCTCACATGGTTCTCGATTTGAAATCAGTGGCAAAGGCCGGGAATGAAGGTAGAGGCATGATATCTGGAGCGTTCATTGTGAAACTTGGATTGATAGACTGACGAAGCAGCTCCATGGGGGCTTCCATGTTGAATTCGACAGTATCCAAGATGTCATTTCGTAGACTTGATCAGGTAGGTGTTCCATGCTTGCAGCATCCATGACTGATAACTTAAATTACTGAATTATATCGAAAATTATTTATTGCACGCTTTATTTTTGCTTTGCCATCATTTTATGTTGTCATGCAAGCAAATCATGTGAAACTTGCTCTGAGGTTCTCGCACCACTGCTTCGTGTCCAGCTCATGCCTCTGTTCTCCCCGAGTGAAGCTAGCACCTCGCCGCACCGGAAAATGAAGCCCGATCTCTCCTAGGCCCCGCCCGTTTCCCAGACTATGCAACATGGTGTTGCCTGCGCAAAGTATTTATTTATATACGTTGTACCAACGCAACCAAAGTAGATGGCAGATGACTCCCAGTTACCGTTACTATTGCCCCCTTTTGCTATGCCTCTCAAGCCAGTTGATAGTGACTGTCCCACCTTCCATATGCGGGATGGGCGGCGATTAAATGTGCCACGATCCGATATCTCATCTACGTGGTTCAGTATTTTTTTTTCTATCGAATCCTCACACATATAGAGAACTCCATCGTGGCCAGTTCACGTTCCTGTGCTTTCCAGGCCATTGAATCAGACCATTGGAATATATTCGTTGACACTCCCGGTCCCCTAAGGGAAGGAGATCGAAGGCTGCAGATTACGCTACTTGTCTGGGGACTGAGTTCGAAAACCTTGGAATCCGAGCTCTACTACCAGACCTCAATCACAGCGTGTCCCCGAGAAAGAAGTACTCCCCCAGCAGCTTCAGCTCGGAAAATAAAGTAAACGAGCGATCGCGCCCCACAGATGTGGATATTTACGACTGGAGAATACCGTCATAGATCAAGGGTTCTTAACCTTTTTCTTCCTACGCACTCCCTGAAGCTCAATGCATCCATCCTGCACATCTACCCCGCACCCCTGGTTAAGAATCCCTGTCCTAGATGAATATAAGGACAGATGAAATAACTCATGTATTCTGTAGCTAGGAGAAAAGGAAGATAAGGAGTGATCTCACTAAAAGGGAAACATTCTGGTTTACATTTCCATTAATTTTAAACGAGACTCATTCCAGCAACATGAGGTCCCATCTCGAGCAAGCGAAGGATCTTCCTCCGATGTACCTGATCCCTGGCAATTGACTCGCACTCGAATGGAATGCTCAGCCTCGGATGACAAAGCTTTGCGATGTAGTCCGTCCAGCTCGAATGAGACTTACCGATTGATCAGTCGGTCACTGAGACGCTCTTTTGGGTGGAGGGGGGAGGGGGGTTACTTAAGATGGCGGGGATCTGCACCCCACAAATTGGCTTAAACACCGGCCACCCGCCGCAAGAACCTCTCATCGAGTCGGCTTTGTTATCTGGACTTCATTCGGTCAAATTGTTTGCGGGGTTGATTGCGAAGATTGGAATGCGTGGAACAGAGAGGAGATTTCCGGTGGGTTCCCTGTGTTTCGCATTATGGATTTTTTTTCGGCAGCAATGACAAAGCACATAATTGTTTAAAAGTTGTAAGAACTAGGGTGATTTTAAAAACGCAGACGCGGAAACGAAGAGATTGGCTGAGTTGCAAGGGCCGGGACGACGAGGCTTCTGGTGCAGGCTTCTACTGTGTGTGCGCGTGTGGGGGGGCGAGGTTCAAGCCTGGCCTCTAGGCACGGTTCTTCCGAAGCCGAACACGTGAGACGGAGGATCACGAGACACTGGTGGCATCAGTCTGTGCCTCAGGTCAAGTCGGGAACGATGGAGAGTGCTAATATCGTGCCGAAGGAAGAGTCGGTTGAAGCGGAGGCACCCGGCGAGACCGCAGCGGAAAATGTGCAAGTCAAGCAGGAAGTCACCAGCAGCCCGTCTCCGACGAACACCAAAGGCACGTGTCATCGTCGGCGGCTAGGCCGTGGGCCAGCCGGGATTCCGTGTGGAGGCTTCCCTGTAGTGATTTCGGTCTCTTCTGTGCGGTGGCAGGGTTGCATGCGGAGGTGAAGGAGAGGAAGAAACCGGTCGCGGCTGCGAAGGCGAAGAAGGGGAAGAAGAAGAAGCAGATTCGTGATATGAATGCTCCGAAGCAAGCACTCTCAGGTGAGGTCATTTGAGTTGATATTTTATGGATGAGGTGAAGCTGGGTGAGCCATACTATTTCTTTGCAATACCAATTTATAACCCAGCATCTGTTAATCAGTGTAATCAATTTATGCAAAGTAGTTCAGTTCATTTTGAAGTTTTTTTTCCATGTGAAAATACTTTTAATTACCTTTGAGCTCAAGCATACAAAGGGAAACAGCCTTATCATTAAGAGAAGATCATGAGTAATAGTGGGAATTGCGACATTCTACCTGTACTATTCTGGAGGCTATACCCTACATTCAATGTTGATAATTGAAAATAATTGAAGGTTGTGAACAGGAACTCAAGTGGATGTCAAAACCAGACTGATCATCAAACCATCCCATAGAATAATGGCAAAAGTTTTGCATTCTGAGAAATTGAAAGATTAACTAGGGAGTAGGCCTGCTTCTGATAATACAATTTGTATTGATAGTGAGTAGTCATAGGGTAAGGGGTGATATTACCATACCAGTGCAGTTTGTGGTTCCATTTCAACAGCTATGCTGGAAAGTGTTTGTAGGGAATGATTGTACAGTCTTGAAATTTGTTGTGCTGTCAATGATGAGCACATTTACCACTTGCAATTGCTTAGTGATCACATGATCTAATTTTGAGGGATGAATAAACAATAACAATGTGATTCCCGTTCGGCTGACTTTCAGCTGACTTTCTATGTAATGCATGCGATACCACACCACATTTGAAATGTGGATTTGCTCCATGTTTCTTGGTTCAAGTCACTGAAGTCCATTGCATTGCCACAGGATATTTTCGTTTCCTGAATGATAATCGAGATCGAGTACGTACCCAGAACCAAGGGGCCAGCTTCTCGGACATCACACGAATCTTGGCTGGGGAATGGACTCATCTACCAGCTCCAGAGAAGCAGGTAAGAGGGGCTAAATGGATATACAGTAATTCTGCCATACTGGTAACTCCGATACAGGAAAAGTGCTGCATTAGGGTATGTTTACAGTAAGCTTCTGATGAGCATTTCCAAATAGAAGGTATTGCTAAGTGACGTCTCACTTCAAGCAATTCCTGAGTGCAAGTGAGTATTATTGACAGCTACCTCATTCAGTGGGAGATGTAAAAGTTTCCATTGATGCTAGTTCACTGAGAGAGATTTGATGGTAAATATGTTGATGGCCTATCTGGTAGAAGGTGCTGTGGCAGTATGATCATCACAAAAGAAAGCCATGGTTTTGGTCATTCCTCTTCCCATTATGAAAGGCAATTACATGGATGGAATGTTTCCTTGATTGAGAATTCTGACTTCTACCATGCACCCCTGGTCATAGAAATACCTGGATGCAGCGGAGGCAGACAAGGAGAGATACCAGAAGGAAATGGAGGAGTACAAGCGGTCTGAGGCTTACAAGGTGATGATGAAGAAGAAAAAGAAGCAGGGTGTGAAGTCCAAGCATCCTTTTGGACAGGTCAATGAGGTTTGTCCAAGAATATGGCTTATTAGGCCCAGTAGAAGATTCCTGGTATTGTGCAGTTTTTTAGAGCATTCAGTTGTGCTAATGATGTAATTTCATTACATGAGCTTTTAAATTGTTGCATTAGAAACACTGCTTTTTGGTCTCTTATTTAGAGGAATTGAAGGTATGGGTTCAATTAGTTCGCCAAGCCTTTTAATGCTTAGGTACATGTAACCCCAGGCCCTGTAGTCAATTCTTTGTTGTTTCTGATTTTTTCAATGACATTTTATGTGCCTGCTGGAGTGTGTGTTGAACATTCCATGTTTCAGATGGTGTGATGCATGTGTTGTACCATGATCAACTTAGATGAAATCACAAGATACCCCTGGTCATAGAAATACCTGGATGCAGCGGAGGCAGACAAGGAGAGATACCAGAAGGAAATGGAGGAGTACAAGCGGTCTGAGGCTTACAAGGTGATGATGAAGAAGAAAAAGAAGCAGGGTGTCAAGTCCAAGCATCCTTTTGGACAGGTCAATGAGGTTTGTCCAAGAATATGGCTTATTAGGCCCAGTAGAAGATTCCTGGTATTGTGCAGTTTTTTAGAGCATTCATTTGTGCTAATGATGTAATTTCATTACATGAATTGTTGCATTAGAAACACTGCTTTTTGGTCTCTTATTTAGAGGAATTGAAGGTATGGGTTCAATTAGTTCACCAAGCCTTTTAATGCTTAGGTACATGTAACCCCAGGCCCTGTAGTCAGTTCTTTGTTGTTTCTGATTTTTTCAATGACATTTTATGTGCCTGCTGGAGTGTGTGTTGAACATTCCATGTTTCAGATGGTGTGATGCATGTGTTGTACCATGATCAACTTAGATGAAATCACAAGATAAATTTATTAGAAAAATTATTTCTTTAATTTATGAGCTAATAGGGACTTAGAAACTTAACTACGAAGTATCACTGGGCCTTTCAGTGCCTTCCTCCAGAAGTAAATTAAAATGAGGAAAAATTCAATTAGACCTATTCCAGATGAAGTAAAAATTGGCTATCAGGCTTCATTTAGACAACAACTTATTCTTAGAATCTTTCAATGAAACAAATTGAGCCTCAGGATTTTGATGTTAGTGTTGGTTGAGAATTGTGTTATTCCCTATAGTTCCAACTGCTTCATTAGAGAGAGGGGGAAATTAGAACATGGAGAAAGGAATATACGCTTGAGAGTTGTGATGTGAAGTGGGTTCATGCTCACAGAAAAGAAGAAAAAGAGGTATTTGTAGAATTCAGGCCTGGCATAGAATGTGTGCTAGAGAGAGTACCCTGAGCTTGTCAGGCTGTTAGCATAGACCTCCTTGGAAGCCAGGTCATTTGAATTATGAAACCCTAACTTTTCATGGCTTTTCCCTTTAGGGATAGTGAGCCACATCTCAGATATCCTCATTTTGTCACCTTCTTCTCTTCACTCACATGAAAATTGAGAATGGAAAGTGTGAGGACATACTGTAGCATGTAATTTCACTCAAGAGCAGAACAGATCATATAATACCCTTTTTTGTGGGAGAGTGAGGGAGTTGGGGAATCAGAGAAGTGACGTTAGTCATTCTTGCGTTTCTTATATCATCATCCTCTCCTTTGTGCAGTTATTGATACCATTGGTATATGGTAACTCTAGGGTATTATTGTAAGGATTTCTAATTTTGATTAATTTTACAGCTGAAAATTCCATTATTTACATAAAATTCTTGAAATCAGTGGGAGTCGTCAGACGGGTGGACAAAGGGTTCAGTACGAGTTCCCTAATTATCCTTTATCACTTTAGGGGGGGCAAGACAAGGTATAGGGAAAGGACCGGTACAGGGTTTACGGTATACTTAGAAATTGCTAACTTTCTATTAGCCTAATAAGGGATATGAGAATGGAGTACAGCTCTTATGGCCTATCAGGGACATGCCAATTTTTCATCAAAGAAATACATTATAAGTTTGTAGGAGCTTCCAGTCTATATCTCACACATCCTGGGACTTATGTCAGGCTTTTCAGTTGTTGGATGATGGATGCCCACAGACTTTCAAATTTTCCATTTTTATTCCGTAATTGATGATCTGCCTGTTCATGTATAGTGACTCAAAGAAAGGTGTACTGATGACCTCAGTTGAGGAGCACGAAGGACAAAGAGGAAAAGAGTGAAGTGTGCACAGAGAGAGATATTGTATGTGCCTGGCATTGTATATGACAATGTACATGTTAAATCAGGAGACATATATTGAGCATACAGAGGATGATGTTGTTATGATTGAAATCTTAAATGATCATTTGCTTCTACAGGACGCAGGTAGTGAACCTCCACCAAAGAAGACGGGAGTGATTGGATTCCCGGGATTTGACATTCCCATCTTCACTGAAGAGTTTCTGGATCACAATAAAGGTAAAGTCATCCATATCAATGACATTTTCTCATAAAATAGCATATCTCCTATGCAGTTAAAAATTAAGATATAGAAAGAAACTCCATATGCCCTTGGATTCCCATTAATTTCTGCATCAGTAACATTTAAGCATATTTTTTCATTCAGAGCCGGATCACAGATCATGCTTTGGAATCCTAAACCTGATGGGAGTACTCTGAGAACTCTGCTGAATCCTTTGTCTTTAAAATCATTTCTGCTAATCTTTAACTTTTTTTTCCTTGCAAATTATCTCCCTATTTATGCTCTGAACTTCATTTAAAAAGAGCCTTCTTACAGTCACAGCAAAGAACAGTACTGTAGACATTGCATTAGGACTTGATTCATATCTAATGCTAGTCCTTCTGCACTTATAGGCTTTACCTTATCAGATGTTATTATGTTCTAGACCAGTGGTGCCCAACATTTTCAGCTCAGGGGCCACATAGCTCATTCCCACAACCATTGCAGGCCATTTGCAGTCACTAGTATTGTAGTAGGTTATTTTAAGGAAATGGAAGGTATTTATTGTTTGTTTAGGGCCTTGAAGGCCACAGGTTGGTTATCACTATTTGTGACTATGCAAGACAATTTTTATATTCATAAAAAATTCTAATAGTATTTGATTTTCTCAAAACTCTTTTAAATAGAAATAGTCCCTGAAGAGACTATTCAGAGCAGAAATGATTACTCTCTGGTGAAAATATGTCTACTAGTTGAATATTTAAGTGCTAATCTCTGTTGCTTAATAATTTTCATATGTTTACTATATATTTCAGGTTTATCTCATTGTAGAAATACATGGAAAATTAGTTATACATTGGGAATTAGTTTTCTTTTATATTTAGCCTGTTTCTGAATGCAGGGTTGGCCTACAGGAAATAAAAATTATTTTGTAATTCTGTGTATGGAATTTAAAATAAATTTCCTTCTCCTTACAGCCCAAGAGACAGAGCTGAGAAAGCTGCGCAGGGTAGTGGCAGAATACGAGGAGCAGAATGCAATTCTGCAGCGCCACATAGAGCAGCTGACAGGAGCCATTGAACAATTGGAATCAGAAGTAAATGAAAAGAAACAGAATGCAACTCAGGTTCAGCAGTATCTTTCGTCGCTGCGCACTAATCTCGTCTCTGCATTCGGCTCCATTCGACTTCCTGGAAGTAATGAACTGCCAATGATGGACTCAATCGATGGATACATGATTCGCCTACAGAATCTCCTCTCCAGTTCCCAGCAGCATCAGGACCTGGCCAAAGAGGTCCGCAACATCATATCCACTATTGATGTCTCACCTTTGTAGACTCTTCATTTTTCATCATGTGTGTGTCTAGATGTTATATGAGTGAATATAAGGTTGTGATGGTGACTCTGTCTTTGTACTTCTTGATGTAAGAATTATATTGATGTGGACCGTGTCAGCTGGTTTTATTTGCATTCATGGTGAGTTTGTTGGGCCCAGGGATTGGGGAAGATTACCAACTCCCCCATTGGGCAAAGTTTTGAATTTTTCATCAACCTTGGCATCATAGCATTTTAAACATATATGGAACAGTTCCAAGACATTTCTGCCAGGTACTACGACCCTCTACCAGTGAATTTAAACTTTTACGAGAGCAGAGATATGTGTTTCATGGAAAATACTGCTTTATCTTTGTTTATTCTCTCTAATGCTAATTTTTTTAAACATGGCTGACTTTCTTCCAGGGAAGATGACTGAACTGCTTGTCCTTCATTAAAAAATAAAACAGTTAAACCCACTGGTAAACTTAACCTTTCTTGATATGGCTATCCGCATGGAGAGATGATTATTTTATTGCTATCCTGTTGATGCTATGAGCCAAAAATGTAATTCTTACCCTCCATCCTCTCAAATTTAAAAATTTCCTTCATTGAAATAAAGTTATCTTTATCCAAATAATTAATGAGGGAATGGATTATGTTAAGGCAATGAAGTACATTGCAGAGTGAGGAGGAAAAATGTGTCTCTATGGTGAAATTTAATTCCTCAGCATAGGATCATAGTTTCTGTAAAGAAAAGTTTAAACTTTTTACCCCCTCATGATTAGCTTAGAAGATGTCAAGTAAATAGTAAAGACATATGAGCCTAACCTTGAGATAATTTTATTAAAAATACAGATTAAACTGGGACTGAAAGTTGGTATTCTGAATGCAATAAAAATGTTTTGCCCAAGAAATAACTGAAGCTACTTCAGGAACATTTATTGCAAGTATTATTTTGCATTGAATCAAATGTACGACAACTCTGGAGTTGTCTAACATTTTAGACTATGGGGCTTCTGCAGGCTACTTAGATTTTGTTTTCTCATCACTTAGATGACCCTGGAAGCAATCAAGTATAAGGATGGCAAGCTGGAAATCTTGAACCAGTTGGCCTTGCCTGAAAAGTCAGAGTATATTAGCATCCAGTCTGTGGAGGATGCTTGGGATGCCATTCATTCCATGAAGGTATTTTGCTAAATGTTATGTGTACTTGTGAAATGCAGCTGGGAATTGCATTCCAACACCACCATGACAGGTACGAGGAGCACCAGCAATAGCCATAGTAGGATGCCTGGGACTCCTGGTTGAAGTGCTGCAGAAAGATTTTACAAGTATCGATGAAGCCATAAAATGGGTAAAAGAATCTCTGGATCATCTGGTTGCAGCTCGTCCAACAGCTGTCAATATGAGCAAGGCAGCCAGTCATCTACGGACAGCTGTACAGCAGTGGGAATTTAAATCAGTCCAGAATTGGAAAGCCAGGTATGCAAAAACTCCAGAATGTAATGCAGGTTTGGTTTTGTCATGTTGCCGTAATTTTGAAGTTACCTGAAATAGGAATGCCATTTTTCATGCATGAAGCTGTGATTTCCAGACAGACTCAGAGTTTAAGGTTTAACACAGTTTAACTCATATGAGGGATTTCTCAAAAGTTCTGCCAGTAGCCCACAAGACGTCATTGGAGGTGGCCGCAAAGTGGCACTTTGGGGCCACTGGCAGAACTTTTGAGAAATCCCTCGTAATTATTCTTGTAGTTGCTTGCATCATTGAAGAACTAGATAGAATCTGGAAGCTTGTTTTGCAATGGTACCTCTGACAGGAAGAAAGCTTCCTTAGATTGCGATGATTTGTTGAAAATATCCTCTCCCTGGTCATAGCTTCTCAGGAATAACTATAAACTAGTTGAAACAGTCTCAAATTAAGCAGATAGATGGTTAAGCAAGCCATACATAAATCTTGTTAACCTGATTAGGTTGATTGCATAAGGCTACAGATGGAGATAGAGGGGATGTTGGAGAAGGACTTGGATGACAACAAGCAGATTGGAGAACATGGAGCTGATGAGATTCTCGAGAATTTTCTTCCCAGTGAGGGGAAAGTTTCCATCCTCACTCACTGCAATACAGGATCTCTTGCCACATCTGGATACGGCACAGCTCTGGGTGTCATCCGCTCGCTCTTTTCACGAGGGAAAATCGGTAATGGTACTTTTTATTTGTTTGGCTAAGGAACAAAGCTTGTATCAGAAAGGAATGAAACTTCAGTGGTGTCCTCATGTTCTTCATAATTTTTTCTGCAAAATAATAATTTCTGAACCAAAATATTATTTTAAATTTTCCATCCTTTTTGGCACACTGAAGTCAGTTGGTTTTGGCCTTTGTTGATTTCAAACTCAATAAGTTCCAGAACTCATATGTCATGATCAAGAGCAGGTGAAGAATCTTGTTTTGACCTGCAATTATACATCCTCAGACAGAGTGTACTGCACAGAAACAAGACCTTATAACCAGGGAGCTCGGCTGACAGCCTACGAACTCGTCCATGATGGGATTCCAGCCAGTCTGATTTGTGACAGCATGGCAGGAGCCCTCTTGGCTCAGGGCAAGGTAACTGCCATCATTACAGGTGCTGATCGTGTCACAGCCAATGGGGATACTGCTAACAAAATTGGAACATATCAGGTTATAGTTCTTTGCTGAATATGCTTTTGGCTAATGATGCAATAGTTTTGTTGTCATTGCTTTGAAAATTTCAGTTGGCAGTTTTGGCAAGGCATCATAATATTCCTTTCTACATTGCTGCACCATTCACATCTATTGATGCAACTATTCCTGATGGCTCACATATCCCAATTGAGCAGAGGCCAGCAGCAGAACTCACACACATCAAAGGCTCTCGCATTGCTGCTCCTGGTAAGGCAAATTATTTAAAATTCTTCCTACCGCTTAAAACATTAATTCATTGGTTTGTAAGTGGATGGTTGTATTTACACTATTTTTTTCTAGGAATTGAGGTATGGAACCCCGCATTTGATGTTACACCAGCTGATCTCATCACAGGTATCATCACAGAGCAGGGAGTCTTTTCACCACACTCACTACCTCTTTGAAGATCTGGCTTTCATTCTCCATGATTGATGTCTGATATGAATTAGAGATTATGAATCACCTGTTGAATGTGAAGAATTTTTAATGATTGCTCACATGTAGCATGGCTTCATTCCTTCTTAATAATTGATCCTAAATTAATCAGCTTCATATTAAATTTCAGCGAATTAATTTTTTCCTTGACAAAATTGAACTAATCAGGCATTCACAGCTCAGGGGCATGCAGGTATGAAGAAACATCAAATAAACAAACAAGGAACTGCAGGGTTCTGAAAATGAACCATTCTTAGATGCATGATCATACATTACAAAAATCACAAGATTAATACAGTTATTAAAGCATATGATGGGAATGGCACTAACATTGACACAATGGAAGTCATAGCATGAGGTCACAGAAGCACACCATAGTATCACAGACGAGGCACTCCTCATGCCCTCGTGGATCATCTTGTCAAGTTCCCTGGTCCTCGGAGAGTTTTCCGGAAGTGCTGCGGGTCATCTTGGCCAGAAGCATGCGTTCTCTCTCCGCTTCCTTCTCCTTCTGCTGAGCTTCTTTCTGCTTGGCCCCCTGCAACTTCACCGCCCGCTTTCTGAGCCGACTTGCTCGATCCTGGAGGCTCACCATGTCTTTCTTGATGGTGCTTAGCTTGGCTATGTAGAATTTCGTCTTCTCGACCTGCTTAGCAACGAATTAATATAGTACTGAGACTTAGACAAATGAACTTACATAGATGCAGTTCTTGAGTGTTTTAGTCATTACATTCTCTCAAGGAGAAGAAAAAATACACCTACACATGCAAGAAAGGGAAATCAAGAGTAAGTTTAAATACAAATGAAGATAGGGTATGGTTTCTGACCATGGCCTCAAGCTGCTGGCTTTCTAATTCCACCTCAGTGAATCGACGGTTTTCCTCCTCCAGAGAGTCTATCACTACCTCTTGATTCTTCCTGTTGGTAAATGATAGAATTTGGTTACAGAATGAAATATGCCATGATAGTCAAATTCAGCCTTGGCATAAAATACATAAAAAGCCTAGAAGTAACAATGAAGTGCTAGACTTGGAAGAGCAGCTAACTCGGACGGTTCCAAAGGCAAAAAGTCTTTGTTTCCAGGTGAAACTTCTACCAAGTCTCCACAGAGAACTTTGACCGATGTACTTACTCACTAAACCTTCCTAAACCTTTTCTAAAATATGCCTCAGAAATTTGGAACCAACTATTATAACATAACTCCGCAACTCTCAGCTTAGTCGTGGACAGCTCATTAAATTATTCTCATTAAATTCAGTGAGGTGGTCCACCTCATTGAATTTAATGAGACAAATGCAGGAGTGGACTTACAAGAGTTCTGTGAGGGTAGCCTCAAGCCTGATGACAGTGGGCTCATATTCCGCGCAAATGCCATTAGTCAGGTCCTCATAAGATAGGGTATGGTTTCTGACCATGGCCTCAAGCTGCTGGCTTTCTAATTCCACCTCAGTGAATCGACGGTTTTCCTCCTCCAGAGAGTCTATCACTACCTCTTGATTCTTCCTGTTGGTAAATGAGAGAATTTGGTTACAGAATGAAATATGCCATGATAGTCAAATTCAGCCTTGGCATGAAATACATAAAAAGCCTAGAAGCAACAATGAAGTGCTAGACTTGGAAGAGCAGCTAACTCGGACGGTTCCAAAGGCAAAAAGTCTTTGTTTCCAGGTGAAACTTATACCAAGTCTCCACAGAGAACTTTGACCAATGTACTTACTCACTAAACCTTCCTAAACCTTTTCTAAAAAATGCCTCAGAAATTTGTAACCAACTATTATAACATAACTCCGCAACTCTCAGCTTAGTCGTGGACAGCTCATTAAATTATTCTCATTAAATTCAGTGACCACCAGGTGGAGTAACTTAAATTACTCTGTTTACGTCCTCACCTGAATGTTCTCAAGACACTCCCATCGGAGTTCGGACTACTGTCACCCGAGTATAAGGCGCGTTTACGGTAATCAGTCCAGGAGTACCTCCTTCAATGTGGGATTTTCGGGCTGCGACATGACAAAGAGACCTTGCAGAAGAGAGAAGCACGTGTGCACGCTCGCCGCCACGTTGCGAGAGCCGACAACATGGCCGAGCGGATCACACAGAGAGGGATCATATCTCTGTAGTTAGGTCGTTGTGAGGTTCCCGTTTCCTTTGCTGGCGTGCCACTTTCTCGGAGAAATGTTTATCGTTCAGGTTTTATTGAGTAAGCCGCACAGGTGACGTGGAGTAGGTACCTATTTTGAATCCGTATGGTTAGAACTTCAACCAGACCTGAGCACGTAGGGATTGTGAAAAAGATCCAGCTCACATGAAAAGAGCTATCGCTTGAAGCAAAGGGAACACACATGCTTGACACAAGAGCCAAAAAATACTATGCCGTGGCACCGTATTCCGGAATCGGATCTTGAGCAGAGCAATGGTAGAGTTTCGCCTTCCTCCACTCCAAACCCAGCTTTCATGGCCGCCCAAAGAAAAGATCAGGTTTATACTTCCCTCTGATTCCTTCTGGACTATATTTTGCAGAAAAAACTATATTTCTGTCTGTTTTAACATTGCCTACATCTGGCGTATACGATAAAAATGAAATTAACCACAATTCGTTGGAAAGCCATAAAATTGCACTTGTGCCAGTCATGGATGCTTGAGAAGTTGCTCTGCTTCAGGCTTAATGTTGCTGAATATTCATTATTTTCTTACTGACTGCATTGAAAGGCAATTAGAGTACAGCATATGCCTAGGTATAGATCAAGAAAACTTTTTCTTCGGTTTTATAGTTACTGTTCTTTTCCTTTGTACGTCCTATAGTGAATGTCCCGAAGTGGTTCTTAGACAAAAGGGACACAATAGACTTAACGAAATAATAACCAATCCTAAAACTAATACTATGTTTATTTTTTTTTTTGCATTTACTATCAAATAATCTTTTAGATGGATTTTGAAACTGGATTCAGAGAGTAAGTTTTTCTATAGACAACCTTATTGTACTATAAGGGGTTAAGTGAGGGTGATTTTCTCACCTAAAATATGGGTTTCAAACAAAAAAATTAATTAAATTATAATTAATTCCAAAGACAATCACTTTACGATGTAACCATGTGTGCACTGTTCTGAAGAAAATGTCTAATTTGCTCTACATAAGGCATGAAGCTCATGCTGAAATCTTCTGGCCAGACAAATAAAAAACAGCCATAAGACTAGAGCAGAGGTATACAACAGGCAGACTGCAGTCTGAGCCCTGGCCTTGTCAGCATTAAAGTTAAATGTTCAGATGGGCAAGCCCAATCTACTCACAGGTGCCTGTTTGCTAAGTTGGTGCTTCATGTACTTTGTTCCCTTCTTCATTAGTGTGCAATCCACTGCTAAGTCTCAATCATGTTGAAACTTTTCAGCCAGATTGTTAATTTATGGTTTGTATTTGTTTATACTCTCAGCCCCATACCCTTCAAATCATGTCATATGCTCTCAAATCACTGAGGTAAATGTGTTGATGGTTGAATGCTGGAAAGAAGAGAAAGATGAGAGACATAAAGTTCAGTACATAGCAACCCAAGGAAAGAAAGAGATGTGTGCTGTGGTCATGTATTATATTTTATCAATTTAGCTGGAAAAAATTTTTCTCGTGGCCTTTTTTTTTTAAGGTTGATCCATCATGTACACATTGCATTAAAATCTGAGAAAGCCAGTGGCTGCTGATGATTTTCCCCCTTTGAACAAATTTCAATGTAAAAATTATTGATAAAGAGCTATTTTGGTAAACTTTTCTGTAAAAGTAAAAAGGTCATCCTTTATCTTGCCCAGATGCACAGGCCTACTTATTTTTGCAGTGATTAGGATATAGGTTTATCTGTGTTCTTCTGTCCTAGTGAGAATGGCCAATTAATGAAAAAAAGCAAGGAATGATGCTTTTTATCAGGTACTCCAACTCCTGCCCATTGCACATGTTTTGGCAAAACTCATGTCAGCTAAACCCATGTGTTATGTGTATCACAGTGGTGTCATGAATGTAAACTTTTGACTTTTTTGTTATTGGATTTTCTTTAAAATGGTTGTGCACCCCTGGACTAGTATTTTTAATTCTAATAACCAACAGCATCAAGTCACAAGGTCAGTGGGATGACCACCGATCCACCAATATATTTTGGTATTTGGGTCAATAAAAAATATGTATATTTACTATAAATGGGAAGTATTCTAGTGGTAGGCATTCTGATTCCTAAATAAGTTGGTTTTCTCCTGCAGGTTCTGGGGCTCTTTGCCCTTATGTGTGACAGAGGGAATAGGATTTCAATAGTCACCTAGTACATTTGAGGATCAGCATTCAAGATGTCTGCAAGTCCTTACAACGACTACAGTGGATCGGGGGACACCGAGTACGGCCAGGAAACTCTTTCGGGTTCCNAACCAACTATTATAACATAACTCCGCAACTCTCAGCTTAGTCGTGGACAGCTCATTAAATTATTCTCATTAAATTCAGTGACGTGGTCCACCTCATTGAATTTAATGAGACAAATGCAGGAGTGGACTTACAAGAGTTCTGTGAGGGTAGCCTCAAGCCTGATGACAGTGGGCTCATATTCCGCGCAAATGCCATTAGTCAGGTCCTCAACCTCCTTCAATGTGGGATTTTCGGGCTGCGACATGACAAAGAGACCTTGCAGAAGAGAGAAGCACGTGTGCACGCTCGCCGCCACGTTGCGAGAGCCGACAACATGGCCGAGCGGATCACACAGAGAGGGATCATATCTCTGTAGTTAGGTCGTTGTGAGGTTCCCGTTTCCTTTGCTGGCGTGCCACTTTCTCGGAGAAATGTTTATCGTTCAGGTTTTATTGAGTAAGCCGCACAGGTGACGTGGAGTAGGTACCTATTTTGAATCCGTATGGTTAGAACTTCAACCAGACCTGAGCACGTAGGGATTGTGAAAAAGATCCAGCTCACATGAAAAGAGCTATCGCTTGAAGCAAAGGGAACACACATGCTTGTGTGTTCTCGGTTTTTTATGATACGGCACCGTGGCATAAGGCCTTAGCCTAGAACTCGTCTCGTTACCATCTCAAAGCGGAAGGAGGTGAGGTTTGGGTCGAAAGTACCGGCGGGTTTCTTTTCTAGGGGTTTATACTTCCCTCTGATTCCTTCTGGACTATATTTTGCAGAAAAAACTATATTTCAGTCTGTTTTAACATTGCCTACATCTGGCGTATACGATAAAAATGAAATTAACCACAATTCGTTGGAAAGCCATAAAATTGCATTTGTGCCAGTCATGGATGCTTGAGAAGTTGCTCTGCTTCAGGCTTAATGTTGATGAATATTCATTATTTTCTTACTGACTGCATTGAAAGGCAATTAGAGTACAGCATATGCCTAGGTATAGCTCAAGAAGTGAAAAAGAAGCCAAAATATCAATGACAAGAAAAGGAAACATGCAGGATATCACTTACAGGGCTTCACCAAGAATCTGTTTTCCCTGTGTTATCTGAATTGCTTTATTATTGGTTAGGATTTTGATTTACTATGTTTATTTTTTTTTTGCATTTACTATCAATCTTTTAGATGGATTTTGAAACTGGATTCAGAGAGTAAGTTTTTCATATCTGTTGGAATAACATGATATTCCCCAATTCACTCCCACTAAAAGAGTGGATTTTATACCCAAAGTTTGTTTTTTTAATTAATTTAATATTAATTAAGGTTTCTGTTAGTGAAATGCTACATTGTATGTGTGTACTGTTCTGAAGAAAATGTCTAATTTGCTCTACATAAGGCATGAAGCTCATTCTATGCTCTGAAATCACTGAGGTAAATGTGTTGATGGTTGAATGCTGGAAAGAAGAGAGAGATGAGAGACATAAAGTTCAGTACATAGCAACCCAAGGAAAGAAAGAGATGTGTGCTGTGGTCATGTATCATATTTTATCAATTTAGCTGGAAAAAATTTTTCTCATGGCCTTTTTTTTTTTTAAAGTTGATCCATCATGTACACATTGCATTAAAATCTGAGAAAGCCAGTGGCTGCTGATGATTTTCCCCCTTTGAGCAAATTTCAATGTAAAAATTATTGATAAAGAGCTATTTTGGTAAACTTTTCTGTAAAAGTAAAAAGGTCATCCTTTATCTTGCCCAGATGCACAGGCCTACTTATTTTTGGCGTGATTAGGATATAGGTTTATCTGTGTTCTTCTGTCCTAGTGAGAATGGCTAATTAATGAAAAAAAGCAAGGAATGATGCTTTTTGTCAGGTACTCCAACTCCTGCCCATTGCACATGTTTTGGCAAAACTTATGTCAGCTAAACCCATGTGTTATGTGTATCACAGTGGTGTCATGAATGTAAACTTTTGACTTTTTGTTATTGGATTTTCTTTAAAATGATTGTTCACCCCTGGAATAGTATTTTTAATTCTAATAACCAACAGCATCAAGTCACAAGGTCAGTGGGATGACCACCGATCCACCAATATATTTTGGTATTTGGGTCAATAAAAAATGTGTATATTTACTATAAATGGGAAGTATTCCTCACCATCCGTAAGACTAAGGATTTATTCAACCAAAAGAGGACGTCCAAGACCCCGAGAAACGGGAATACACACTGTCTCCCTTATCCTAAAGTTATCAGTGGATCATGTAAACTCCTAGTCGTAAGAAGATGTCTGCAAGTCCTTACAACGACTACAGTGGATCGGGGGACACCGAGTACGGCCAGGAAACTCTTTCGGGTTCCACTGGGTTCTTTACTGCTGACTACAAGCGTCATGATGACCTCAAGAATATGCTGGACTCCAATAAAGACAGCCTCAAGTTGGAGGCCATGAAGCGAATCATCGGGATGGTGGCAAAGGGCCGCGATGCCTCGGATCTCTTCCCGGCTGTCGTCAAAAATGTCGTGTCAAAGAACATCGAAGTCAAGAAACTGGTCTATGTCTACCTGGTCAGATATGCAGAAGATCAGCAGGACTTGGCACTGCTCAGCATTTCAACATTTCAGAGGGCTCTGAAAGATCCAAATCAGTTGATCAGAGCCAGTGCATTGCGAGTATTATCTAGCATTCGAGTCCCTGTTATCGTACCCATCATGATGCTGGCCATCAAAGATGGCGTGAGCGACATGTCACCTTATGTCCGCAAGGCAGCTGCTCATGCCATTCCAAAATTGTATGTTCTGGATCCAGAACAGAAAGAAGAGCTGATGGGAGTGATTGAAAAATTACTGTCCGATCGGACAACTCTCGTGATGGGTTCTGCTGTCATGGCTTTTGAGGATGTTTGCCCAGAACGCACCGACCTCATCCATAAGACTTACAGGAAGCTGTGTAATCTCCTAACTGATGTAGAAGAGTGGGGGCAGGTCATCATCATCAACATGCTCACCCGTTATGCCCGATCCCAATTTGCAGACCCTACCCAAGGTGCACTAGAAGACCCTAATCGACCTTTCTATGACAGCGATGATGCAGATAAAGATGAAGAAGATCATACAAAGGAGAAAGCGAAACAAATGGACCCAGATCATCGCCTACTGCTTCAAAACACCAGGCCCCTTCTCCAGAGTCGAAATGCATCGGTGGTAATGGCTGTTGCCCAGTTGTACTACCACTGTGCTCCACAGTCAGAGTTCCCTCCGGTCGTCAAGGCACTGATCCGCTTGTTGCGCTCGCGCAGAGAGGTACAGAGCATTGTACTCAATGTTGTGGCTGCCATGTCTACCAAGCGGAAGGGGCTCTTTGAGCACTACATGAAGAGTTTTTATGTCCGAAGCACAGACCCCACACATATCAAATTGCTCAAGTTGGAGATTCTGACTAACCTGGCCACGGAATCAAATATTTCCCTAATTTTGAGAGAACTGGGAACATACATCGGAGAGGGAGATCCAGAATTCGTTGCTGCAAGCATCCATTCCATTGCACGTTGTGCCTCTGAGATCAAGGAAGTGGCTGATACATGCCTGAATGGGCTGGTACTCCTGCTGTCCAATCCAGATGAGGCAGTCGTAGCAGAGAGTGTTGTCGTCATCCGGAAGCTTTTACAGCTGCAGCCGTCTCATCACAAAGATATCATCACCCAGATGGCAAAGATGGTGGACACGATTACAGTTCCCAATGCCAGAGCTTCCATTCTTTGGCTCTTGGGAGAGTATTCCGAGCGTGTTCCAGGTGTTGCTCCGGATGTCCTGCGCAAGATGGCCAAGGTCTTCATCGAACAGGAGGACATCGTGAAACTCCAGATTCTCAACCTGGCCGTGAAGTTGTACGTGACCAACCCGGAACAAACGAGCCTCCTGACCCAGTACATATTGAATCTGGGTAAATACGATCAGAGCTACGACATTCGGGATCGCACCCGCTTCTTCCGTGCTTTCATCTTCCCTGTGGGTGATGCCCAAAAGTCTCAGCTAGTAAAGTATGCTAAAAAGATTTTCCTCACCAACAAGCCTCCCCCAATTATTGAGTCAAGATTCAAGGACAGAGAGGAATTCCAAATAGGTACTCTTTCCAACTACATAAATGCCAAGGCAATGGGGTACTGGGAGTTGCCAGCTTTCCCAGAAGTCCCACCGGATCCCAGTGTTCGAAATGTGGAGATTCCATCATCACCGAGCTGGCCTGCCCCAGCCAGAACAGCCAGGAAACCGCACACAAAAGGCAAGACCTCCAAAGTTTCATTTTACTCGGAGTCAGAAGAAGAAGGGGAGGAGGAGGAGAATGAAGGCGAAGAATCTTCCGAGGAAGAAGAGAACGAAGAGTCATCCAGCGAGGAGGAATCCGAAGAGGGCAGTTCCGAGGAAGAGAGCGAGGAGGCAGAGACGCCGGTGAAGCCGAAACCGCCAGCGGCGACTCCCAAGAAGGCTGATGAGCCCCCGAAGAAAAAGCCAGCACCGGTGAGTGAATCTGAGTCTGAAGAAACGGAAAGCAACGAAGAATCTAGTTCTTCAGAGGAAGAAGCTTTACCAAAGTCGACGCCGAAGAAGAAGCCGGAAAGTCCTCCAAAATCAAACTTGGATTTGCTGATGGATTTGGATTTTGGTACCGATACCTCATTTTCCAGTCCGATGCTGATGCCACACGCAACATTGCCTAGTACACCTAGCAAAGAAATGTTGTCGGCTGCACCGACCAAAGCGTGGAAGGTCGTGCCAGCCGTCTTCGTGCCCACGACGTATAAAACCTTGTTGAGTCGCACCGCCGGCGGGGGTTGTGAGATCACCTACCGCTTCACTCGCACGCCCAATCTCTATTCGCCGAGGATGATATCCGTCGAGCTGGTATATACCAACATGGGTGATGAGGGCATCAACGAGAGCATTTCGGTGAAGAACGTCGGGAACGAGGACTTCAAAGCTCCGTCCGTGGTGAGCGGGCTCCAAGCTCAGCGCTCCGCCAGCGGGACCATGGGAATCGACCCCGGAGAATCGACCCAGCCGCTGAAACTAGAAATCGCGATCGGAGGGCTCGTCCACCCCGCCCAACTGGTCGTCCCGATCGGCGAGCGCGTGCGCCCCCTGGCGATGGACGCCGCGACCTTCACCGCCGAGCGAAGCAAGCTGAAGGGCATGAACGAGAACAGGGCGAAGGTGAAGGTCGCGCCGGGGAGGAGCCTCTCGAAGGACCTCCTCTCGCTGGTGAACGCGGCGCCGATCGGCGAGGATCACCGGTTCGCGTGTCAGACGGTGTCCTCCGAGTGCCTGATCCTCGTGGGGTTGGAGCCGAGCGGCGAGGACTGTACCGTGGTCGTCAACTGCGAGAAGATGGTCCTGGCGTCCATGCTCCTCAAGGAGATCAGGGAGGGACTGGCGGCTTGATTCGTCATCGGTGACGTTCGTCAGCGGTGACGGTCGTCAGCGGTGACATTCCTCGTGAGGGAACATTGGGGTTGGAAGACATATTACAGTACATAGTCGATATTTTTTATTTGGATCATTGGATGGAGAATATCAAACGGAGAATGAAGATTTATAAGCAGCGAAAACGAAAGTGTTTTCTTGTGTGAGCCTCGCACCCGCGGTGAAAATCGCCGCGAACGTTAAGAAAGGGCCTTACGCAAGATTTAACTCAGAAGAAGAAAGCCCATTCGTCTTTCCGAGCGACGATTCGCGCTGTCAAATCCAGTGGGTTAAGGACTCTGTCGTGTCGTGCGAGCATATTTCTTGCTCCCCGCCGGGACGAGATTACGGGTTTCGGAAGATGGTCTGGATCCCGGCTGATGAATTATTTGCTCTAATGCGGGGTCTCTGAGGCGTGGAAGCCCTCGACTTCCTCCGAGACCTGCGGTTCGTCTCGGTACTGAGTACTCGTTCTGCTTTTGCGCTCGGAGGATCTTCCGCGTCGGGGCGACGAGAAGCAGAATTTGTACAGGGTGGCGCAAAAGTCGCGCGCCATAGGGTAAATTACAGTAAATGTTCTGATAGTTCTGCCGTTTACTTGAAAACACTTGGATTCGCTGCACGCATGTTTGAAGATATCTTAACTCCGCTCTCTCGTCTTTTGTTGATTTTTTTTCAGCCATCACCTCCAAAGAAAGTAACAAGAATTAATGTAGCGCAACTATGAAATCCCCTATGGTGCACGACTTTTGCGCCACCCTGTATTTTTCCGTTCGGATCTTCGTGGAATTCGGTCCCGCATCCGCGCTGAACGATGGAAGAAGAATCGAAACGTTTCCGGATTCTTCGCTCTTACGATGAGTCCGCAAAGATCTCGGAAAATCCTTGGAAATGTTCGAATTCCTAATAAAAAGGCTTACTGCTTCGAAGCTGATAGCGATAGAGGCGAAACCAAAACCAAAAAGAGGGGGAAAAAAAATTGTGGATTTTTGCGAGGAGCCGAGAAAATTTGGCAAGGAATCGATTTGGTGCCACGTCCAAATTCCTCGAGGGGAAATCTTGAAGCGTTTCTGCATAATATGGTCTTCTGGTCTCACTTTTCTGCCTCGATTAGTTTCGAAGAAGTAAGACTTGCGATTGGCAAAGTTTTAACAATTTGTTGGTTTTTTTTTTTAGCAGTTGTTTAATTGTGCTCCTTTAATTTACGACGCGAGTTAATTTTTTTTTCTATGGCGAACTGGGATGAATTCCAGTTAGGTGCAATCGAGACCCTTCGCAGCATTTCTTCCCGTACATTTATGGGAAATGTGGAATTTTTGATGCGAGTAAATAATTATATTAGGTCAAAGAAGGAAATAATTGGAGGAAATTCAATATTTTGGCGGAGATGGGTAACCAAGCGGTTAAAATCACCTGTGAAAGTTTTTTTTTCCTAACCGCAAAAATTTATGCAGAAGGAACGACAAGAGGAAGTCCCGAAAAAAAGGGCAATTTCTCACGGGAAAAAAAAAAAATTTTTCTCCAATCGAAGGAGTCGACCCTCGTCCGGAGGATCCGCATGTGGGTCGCTGCATGCGCTCTAAAGGTTAATGAAGTTCTTTCTTCGCGGCCGAGGGAAAGTTGGGGAATTTTTTCCAGTCATGCAAGTCAATGGGATTCCGGGAAACTTTTCCTCGGCTTTTCGAGTATTCGCGAGTTTTTCCGATGGCATTTAAACTCGCGTTAAAATTTTCTTGAAATCTGCAGACGGCAAGTTTTTTTTCAGTCGTTGAAAATGAAGCGAGGAGAAAAAAAAAAAGAAAAAAAAAGGATGGGGGATATCAGAGATTTCGTTCGGACTCGATCCGGGACGGAGGAGGTTGTCGGTTCGAGGCGGAGGAGGTCGTCGGTTCGGGAGGGGGGTCGTCCGAGACTCGCAGGATGGAGACACGCTTTCACTCTCCGTTTCCCGCGAGGCAGTGGCGGGACGGAGGCGGACGGAAGCGGTGCCCACGAGCTCCCGACTGTGGGAAATCTCTCATAGCATTCCGCGTTTCGAGGAAAATTTTCAGCAAAAAACTGCTGAGCGTGATTCATACAGGTTTGGCGATTCGTCTGTCTTTCTCTCTAGATAGGCTTCTCGAGTAGGTCATGTAATAGATTTTGAATAATATACTGAGCTCTCATGCATCTTTATTATTTGGTATATTGGCTCGCACTGAGAGCCATATTTTCCCCTTGATTCCTCTTTTTTTTTTTACTTTTGCCTTCCTCTCCACTTGCTTTAAGCAAGCTGAGGAGAAGGAGCCGTAGGATCCATTTTGACATCGCCTTCAGCTTCTTTATTTCCCCCTCTATTTTTTGCACCATATCTGCCTCATCATTAATTCACCTTCAAACTCCGCAGTCCTGCTCATCGATTTCTAATGTAGGTCATTTTGTTCTCGATGGCTGCTGGTCCAGATGGCTCTTCAACCTCCTGAACATTTTTCAATCGAATTGAATTCACGTCATACATTGACCCATTTATCGTTAGGAGGGAGAGCCCTCTTGTGAGAGGACCAAGGACTCCGAGAAGTGAACGTCAAAGCCTGGAATTCTCCCCCCTACATTGAGCGACATCTACGTTTCTCATGGGTCTTCGATAGTTGTTCGCCGGCAGTTTAGATGACAGGACTGCGTAGAAGACCCCCGCAGGCGCTGTCAAGATGGCCGCTAGAGATGAGAGGGAGGGAGTGCCAGTGTATGCGGTCTACGAAACGTGCTTCGTCAAGTCTCCCCGTCCTTTCAGAGGTAAAATTAGGACCTTTCTGAGTTCCACTCAGATTAAAATAAGCTGAGCCTGAAAGGATAAGATGAAGATCGTAGGGGTTTCTCACGGACAAGCAGAGTAGGCTAAAAAGAGAAATTCCCTGTGCCTGTCATTGGCATTTATGGACTTGACGTAGACCTAGTTCCTATCAACGCCCGCTACAGGCCTGGCCCTAAACTTATACTGTAATGAGCCCAGAATGCACCCTAATCGTCCAACCTAGGTCCGAATAATTTAGCCAAGATTGAGTTCTAAAGAGTGTGAAAATCATTTGCTGAGGCAGTAATTGAAATGGAATATTTGGCATGCTTTCGCAATGACACGTAGAACCTGTGCAATCGATGGAATATCAGACAATGCATATAAAAGATTTAAAAGGAAGCAAAATTGATGCCATTGACTTACAAAATGGAGCTGTAGAGTGGAATGCACTTGAAAAGCTAAGAAACTATTCATTAGGATTAATAGTGAGGTAGGCCCAAGGGAAGACACTGTTATTACTCAAAGAATAGAAAAAAGATTATCAAATACCATGTGAGTTAATTCATATGTAAAGAAATAAGGACAAAACTAGCATATTTTTTTTTAAAGCTAAGATTCAACAACTGAGACATTTATGATAAAAGGTGAGTAACTCAAATATTTTGACTTTAGCTAGGCAGATCTCAGTAGAAACTTGAGGAACTTGTCTAGGGGATACACATGTTCTACTCATTACCAAATTTCATGAAAACAAAATTTCAATGTTTATAATTTAAAAAAGCATTAGCTGAATGCTTAATTAATCTTTAGCCCTGGCAGAGGAATTTTTAAAAGAAAAGTAGAGGCAAAGAGCAGAAGCAGCTAGTTGCCAACCTAGGTGTCCCAAGGCATGCATTCCAAGTAACTTTTGGATTATTCTCAGTAAGAGATGATGTCAATTTGATTTCCAACTACTTTTGTTTGCTTTGATTAGTCATAGGATAGTAGTGGTTCATGTGTTTACTCATGTCATATTTGCTCTTTGTTATAGGGGTTTATGGTAGGCCTATTGCAGCTTTTTTCATGTCCCCTGCAGCATTATCTATGAAGCAGAATGAAAGGAAGTATAGTTCCAGGATATAAAAGCTTATAAAGTTAAAGTGTAGACCTTTGAACAAATTTGTGGAAACACCTCTGTAGGCTTGAGTTAGCTCTGTTGATGATTGGATTTGTTTTTCTGGGTTTGAAAATAAAAAGATTTAGACCCTATTGAGGTTATTTTGTGATAAGATTCCGGCCACTATGTTAATGGTCTCAGTAACAATCATTGGTATAGAACCATGTATAGATAAGATCAGAACAATTATCAACAGTAGTGATTATAATTCTAAATTTGGTGGGAACCCCATTAAATACTCCAAGGTCTATCTCCCATAAACTGATTTCTACCCTATGGAGATGACCTGCTCTGTTTTCAGATTGAATTTGTGGGAGAGGTGTAGGAGTGTCCTATCCATTGCAGGTATTGATTTCTTCCCAAAAGGTGAATTCTGTGATCATCTGATGAAGCAGATCCTCTGGAAGTAGTGTTCTTTCTGTTCTTTATTAACCAAGGGGATATACAACTTCTATCTGAAAACATGTGTTCGGCTGTCTTGTGGATTTCTTTGTGTAATCTTCAACTAGAAGCCTAGTTTGTTGATAGCCTTAGTCTTGACTGATTTGTGCTTAAAAGTAACTACCTGTATCAACTTATAAATTTAAATGAGCTAGTCTCAAAAATAACTGATGCAGTGAATGGAACTCTATTATTTTACTGAATATAAATCATCTTGTTTTATAATTTGTAAATGAAATTACATTCTTCATTACCTGCTATATACAAGGAAAGTATATCCTAATATAATATAGCCTTCACTGCTTGCATTGAATTTTGGAATTCTTGTGACAACACTATATCTGTCATTGCAACAGGTAATAAAATAAAGTAATCTCGGGTAAGTTTGTTCACTACTCCTTTTTGGTACTAGGAAGTGCAATGTGCCATTAAGTAAGTATGCACTGAGTAGCACTCTGTTCTGCATGGGGCCAGTCAAATTTTACTGCTTCAGTTGAGGGGGTATTTTGTGCAGGATATTTAATTATCCTTTTTCACTTTAGTACTTGATTTGAAACTCTAGCTTCAACTTTCCACACATAATCAGTATAGTTGAATAATACACCTAGG